CCGACATAGAAGAAAGAATAATATGAAAATTTTAGTCGTTTAAATCATTTATTACATGGATACTGCATCTATCAATATAATGGAGAAAGATAAATATGATTGCGGAAATCCGTAATTAGGATATGATTATTCAAAATTAATTTCTTGTAATGACTCGCTATAACTTCACATCCTTTTTTTTCGGAACTAAAGAACAACACCCTTCTTAAAAAAACAAACGACATGTACTCAGTTCCCCCGTATTTCTCTCTTTCATATGTCATGATAAACCGACATTCTTCTTGAAATAAATGCAATGAAATAGAAGAGAGGAACAAAGAAAAAAACAATTATGAATGCATCACGAAACATGATAGCAGCGAGGACAAAAAAATGATACACAAAGACACCAGAAAGTAGAGACGTCCATCTAGAGATGTATTATTTGTTTTTAGGGGTCTAGGACAGTTGGTCGCGCGGACAGTTACGCGTGGACATTTGGTCGCTAGGATAATTACTCGCATGGACATTTGCTCGCTAGGACACTTGCTCGCGAAATATGCTGTTACAAAAATTTTGAATCGAATGATGAAAATACAATGACGGAGTAAATTAACTTCTAATGCGAGAATAATCATCATCGTAAACTAATTGATTTAATTGTTACACGATTCCTCAAATTGATGATTCTAATATAGTGACCATTTGTAGTGAACGAAAGATGAGTATATATAGGTCGTAGAATGAAATAGAGAATGGCATTACAAACAACAATAATGTCAGTTTCTCTATCAAAAACATCTAAAAACGCACCATTATTAATACACAATGGCTATTCATATACAATTCGAAATTTAGTTGAAAACCCACATCCAAATATTTACGACCAATTAACATGCATTGGATGTTTGTTGTCTCTCTAAAATCTATATTTTTGTTCTCTTATGTATTGTTCACAATTGTGTGATATTTCTTGTTAGATTTCTTCTTTATTATTGTTAAAATTTTGCTATATTATTCTCTGTTTATTCTTTCATCACATCACGAATGATGTTCATTTTTTTTGACTTGCAAATTCTATCTAATATATAATTTGCGAGCAAGTGTCCTAGCGAGCAAATGTCCAAGCGAGTAACTGTCCTAGCGACCAAATGTCCGCGCGCAACTGTCCGTGCGACCAACTGTCCGTTTCCCGTTTTTAGATTGTACTCATAACCCAAGCGAGCCGAAAAAGACATGCGAGGGATGCGCCGAGCCCTCGACCCATCGGAAATGGCAATCCGAGGGGTCGATTTGAAATTCCGATGGGTCCAAAGCCTGATGGTAGGTACATTGATAGTTAGCAGAAGAACGAGATCGAAACTTTGAAACATCTATGATGGTACAATTTTGAGACACGAGCTATACCCATCGGAATTTCAAATCGACCCCTCGGATTGCCATTTTCCGATGGGTTGAGGGCTCGGCGATGGGTATCTTAGGAGACATCGACAGTGCAAAATCGAGGCGTCGAAATACCCCACGAAAGGCCAGTTGGGAACTTTATTGTTAGTTCACATTAAAGATTTCATGAGTTCCTTGGCATTTTTTTTTATTTTCCTTTTATATCCGTTTTTATTAGTCACAAATGTCATCCATTATTTCAAATTGACAATTTTGTTACATTACATAATACATAATAACTCTTAAAAATATTCAAGGATTTTAGTCAATATCTATCTTATGTGAGAAAAAATTGAGATTTTTTTCCCGCTATACACTTGAATAATATGAATAATTATGGTAATGAGATTTTCTATGTCAAAATAAACGGATAAGAAATACGTTGTTGTTACATCTTTTTTAATACAAACAAAAATCATTTGTATTTACTCAAGATATAATGTAAAAGAATACGACAAAGAAAAAGAATTTACAAGTGATTCTTATGGTGAATCTTCGAAATGGGCAGAATGTGTATGTTATTGAAGATTAGCAACATGAAACACGAAAAGAACATTAAGAATTGACATTCTATTTTGTTGTTAAGTCTGTTATAATTTTATATTACATATTCTAAAACAAAAAGCATTTGAATTCATGAAAACTAAAAAAAAGTTTATATTGAATAACAGAATCGTTTTATTTTGTATTACTCAAAAACAAACTCAACTAGGCAAACAGAAAGATTTTCAAATAGATTTAAAGAATTGAATTCATCCTATACCATAATCAATATTTTCAGCAAAGTATACTCTACGAAGGATGAACAACATGGAGAATCTTTTTGATACAACGGAATTCTAAAAGCTAATCATGTTTCAATGATTCAAAGAATATACAATTTCATAAAATTTCAATGAATTTATCAATTTTTCAGTTTTCACATGATTGAATTCATGGTTTAGTTCTTATATTTTAACTGAGATGTACCATTCAAGTCTTTTTATAACGATAGATAAGTTCCAAGTTAGATTATTTATTTTAACATCTCAGTTCAATAGAAAAAAATTTCAAAAGAATCTTGTCAAGAAAGAGATTTTTTCAAAGATAAGTTATAGCTGACTTTCTTCTTGGATACGGAAATTTTATAGACTTTTAGCAGTTCCTTAAAATTCATTTTGTTTTCTATAAAACTCAGTATTTTCGATGCTGAAAAACCTAACTTAAGGTTATATTCATCATAGAAAGGCATCATTGAAGTTCTATGTTCTAGAATCTAAAACGATCTTTCGATAAGATCTTAAATCATATTGCTAATAATGCATTTAACTTAAAGTTTCTTAACAAAATTGATTTCAAAACTCTGTTCAGACACAAACTAAGCACCTTCGTAAGTTTTAATTTTAAACTGAGCCAAACTCTGTCCCTATTTTAATGACATTCTCACAGGTTACGAGAAATCTTGCTCGACATATCGTAGTAAAATTTTTACCCAACTGTTTCTTCTTCAAATTACTTATCCTTAAAAGTTCAGTGCAAAGGGACCTTACTAAGTAGAAATTTCATAAAGAATGACGGTCTAGGAGGGACTTCTTCAACTGTTTTAATGAAATTTATCCTGAAAAAATTTTTTCTACTCATGAATCATCTTTCATCGATTATGAATGTCGTTGAGAAAGTAATTTGTTTTCAAAAGTCTTTTCCATATCTGTAGAAAAGAATATTTTTCGTTTAACTTCATGTGAAAAGATATTCATATTTCTTTAAAATAGAGCCAAAAAAAAAAGAAATTTATTTTTCAAGTGAGATAAAATATCTCGACATTAGCAAAGACATTTTCTTTTGAATTTTAATATGAGTTTAGAAATGGTGGAGAATAATATTAGTTTGTTGTTTATAGAGGATAAGAGACATATATACGAATCAAATTATTCGTTAAGTGGATGTTAAGTTATTATATATAGCCTGAAAAATTCAGCACTAAAGACTTTTTTTTAGAGAAGTTATGAATGAAAATCTAGCGTTCACTATGTGATAGAATACGAAAAATATGCTCTTATAATCGAATGAGAAGTTCAAAACTCATTTCAAAAGGTGTAAATCCTTCTTCGAAATCTCTAAATGATGGTAAGACACAAGATATTTATTTTGAGACTCGATAGGATTTCTATAAAATCGATTTTTAAGAGAAAGTTCTTTTGAATTTCATCTACAGAGATATTTATTACTTAGTTTTTAATTAATAGTCACCTAAAAGAGTCAATATTTATACATATATCTATACTGAAAGAATTTATTCAAAAAAATGAAACTTTGTAAATAATCAAAGTCAAATGAAAGGAAAGTACGTGCTATTTTGCTTGAAGTGGTCTATATGTAGATCAAATACTTTGAAAAACTGTTATGATCTATTATTGTTTTTTTTTGTATTGGAACGGTAAGGTAAGAAATGAGTGAAATAAATCTAAGAAGTAGTTTGGTATTTTTTAATTTATACTAGAGTTCTGTGTGAGATGGGATAAGACGAACTGTCCAATCTTTGATAGAATCCTTATTTATATCATATTCAACTGAATCTGAAATTTTTTTCTTCTCATCATGACTATAACTACGAGTATAATCATAATTATTCAATATGAAATTGTTTAACATTAACGTAGTTAATATTGATTGGTTTTTATAAATTCAGTTATTGAACAATTAATTTATATTGCAAAACATAACTCAAATAATCTTAATGATCAAGTATTGGCTATTTTTTGTTTTGGCAATTATGAATTATTTAATAAGAATGATCATCAATGTTGTATACATTGAAAAATTATTAGAAAATAAGGTGATTGTTGTGCTACTATCTCAAAATAGTTTAAATATATTTATTATTAATTACATACAAGAAAAAATGATTTTCTATTCTAATTGACATATGATTTATTCATCAATTGGAATTTTATTTTTTAATAAAGAAGAAAAAAAAACATCATGAAAGATTTATATTCTTGTTTCTTCAACATACATCGTAAATATAAGAGAAAGTTCGAATTCATTCTTTAGTTTGCAATATAAAATAGAAGTAATTGCTTTGCAGTTGCTACGCAAACAACAAAATCAAGAAACATTTTACTATTGCAAGTGTATAATAATATACCTATATTCGCATATTTTTTTTTTCTTAACACAAAATAAAAACAACCATTGAATATGTCATTATATTTATCAAACGATTATTCAAGAATAATGCATCAATCAAAACTAGACAAAGAAAGACCATGCAACCAACAAAAATCATTATTGTTATCTTTTTACCCTCTTCATACGTAGATAGAAAGAAAGAAAGAAAGAAAAAAGAAGAAAGTGAGTCCCTTTTTTCTTTTCTTTGTTTACAAATAATAAAAAAAAAAAATATCCGTTTATACAACATGTGTTTTACTTATCCTTCGACACAAACGAAAGCAAAACGTTACGAACGAATAGAGAGTTGGTGTAATTGATAAGAATATAGATTACTTAATCGAACATTAATAATGAATAACATAATTGCAAAGTGAGACTTTATATATATAAAATATATTTATCTGTTTCATTTTAAAATTAATAAAATGATTCGTTCTTTATTTTTACCAAAATCTCATAGAATATCAATGGGTAGAAAACGCGATAATCTACCTTTACTTGATTTACCAGTTGATGATTCACAAAATGATACCAATACAACATCAATACCAACAATTGATATTGAACAATCACCATCAAGAACAACAATGTCTAATGGAACTTGTTTACATGATCATGCAGCACATTTACGTGCAAAATTACGATTTTTTTTAATGTCACCATGTTGGAAATGGCATTTAAAACGACAATGTCCATGGAAAGCATGGTTTCAATTTTTTAAAATTATTATTGTTACTACACAGGTTTATTTTTATTTTTTTATGTCTAAAATAGAGATTCTTTAAATTTGCGGTTTTTTTTGTTTTTAATATAGTTAATTCTTTTTGGTATTGAAAGACAATCACATGTTATATTTATGTCTGAAAGTAATATAACATTTCATCATCTATTCGTTCGTGATTGGACTTCAAATGATGAAACATTACCATATCCAAGAGCATCAGGAGATTTTGCTGTTTATACTTATAAAGATTTTATACATTCAATTAATTATGTTGTACATCGAGTAATATATTTAACAATTAAATATATTTATCTATTAAAATTTTATATTTTATATATATATATAGTTTAGTCATTTAACAAATATATCATTGGGTTTATTTGATTATCATGATCATTCAACACAAACACCATTTAATTTTGATTCAGAATCAAATGAACATTTTATTACATTATGTTTAGATCGTTTTAAAACATGTCGAATTGATCCAAGTACACATACATATATATTAAATTCCGAAATTGAAAATAGTTAAGACTATTTTAATTATAAAATTTAAAAATATTTATTCTTTTTTTGTTTAGTTTGTTTTAAATTTAATGCAACAAATAATTTTGATGTTGAAGAATATTTATTAAACGTACATAATGAAACAATAAGTTTTTGTGGGTAAGAAAAAAAAATTTTTATTTTTTTTTTTTTCAAAATATTTTTATATCTATTTTAGACTTAATTCATTAACACTTGAATTTTCTCTACATGCTATACAACTTAAAAATCAAAAACTATTTAGTTTACCTGATTGTTATCATTTTACAGTTAAAGTATATTATTTAAACAAAAAAAACGAAAAAAGTTTTTTCTGTTTTCGAAAAAGATTTTCTCAATTTAGATAACATTTGATAATAATGCTCGAACAGGAAAAATTCGACAACATCTTGATTCTCAAGCACAATTTCGTACATGTAATCGTAAATTAATTCATCAAGATTCTAATTTTACATTAAAACGACGTAATTTATTAGTTGGATTGGATTGTATAGTTTTATTTATAACAATTATTTCATTTATACTTTGTATACGATCATTATGGTTTGGTCATCGTTTATGTAAAGAAATTCGTTTGTATTATAGTATAGCACGAGCTGCAGAAAAGCCATTAACTTGGAGTGAATTACAAATTTTTTATTCATATTGGTATTTTCTTATGATAATAACAGATTTAATGGTTATACCAGGAACTATTATTAAAATTGGAATTCTATTTAAAGTAAAGTGAATATTTTGAGTATAATTTGAAATGTGTATGCTAAGAAAACTGTAGAATAGAGACGAAACTGATCTGAAATTCATACTAATGAGTTTTTGTACTATTCTATCTATGTATAATGATATTTGATGTAGTCAATTTTCAACAAAATTTCATTGCGCATTATTCTCTATGAAATAATACGAGGAAAAGAATGAATAAGAAACATTGGTTCCATCTCTGCTGTAAAAAATTTCATATCTTTTAAAGTTCGAAACAGATGTCCGAAAACATTTTTTCTTTGGATTTTGCAAAATATTCGAGTTTTTCTGGGGTGACGAGGCCAAGTCAGATGAATTGAAGTCGTAGGGTTGTTATCGTTCTCGATAGTGATATTTATTGCGCTGCTTTTATCATTCCAGTCGTGTTTAAGTCATGACGAATACGTGCTTATATGATATACATGCAGCAGCAGATAAATAAAAAACACCAAAACTTAAAAGAAGAAATTGTAAAGAGAAAAGGAAGCGTAATAATTAGTTATCGTTACACAGTGTATCTGAATATTATTTATTATTGTCTATACAGATGGACTTTAGATTGTCATGCTATATGATAATGACCTTGCAAAACGTAAAAATCTGTTCTCAAAGGTAGATATGAACTTTAATTGAGATAAACTTGAAGTATTATTCTTAAACAATAAAATAAAACTCATAGAATTTTATTTTATGAATTTATAGGTTGAATTCTTCACTTAAATAAAATTCTCTAAAATGAAACGAAAGTTTTTGATTATAATAAAGCTTTCGACAAATAATAAGACTCGAAGTTTTCTATTATGTCTTTATGAGATTCTTTTAATTCAGTATTTTCAATGCTCATTTACATTTCTAACCTTCTTGTGATGTAAGATTTCATTATTAATTTAGTTTTTTCATATTAATATAATCAAAAGTATACGCAAATATACATCAGATGAAAAAAAAACACTAGTTCATACTAAGAATCATTTACTTTACATAGTACATGTAGTATGACTTGTATCATTGACTTCAATGTCGGAGTCTATTGACATGGTGTCTACATCAGACTTTTCATTAATATTGTCGTCATCAACAGATAATTGAAAGAGAAGAGGGTGCATAAAAAGATTATTATCGTCTATAAAATATTTTGAGAGCGTTTCAACTCGTCACGTGACGAGTTGAACAAATTGCAAAAATCACACCTTTCGTAACACCAAAAATAGGCATATTCAAAAATGCAGGGATGTCGTAACGAATTTTACAGGGCGATCGTAACGATTAATACAGGGAGTTCGTAACGGTTGCAGAGCTTTCGCAACGAAACAACAGGGTTTTCGTAACGAAAAATATGTTAGTCGTACGTCATTTACGAATAGAAATTACATGGGTTTCGTAACGAATTGTACAGGGCTTTCGTAACGGCTAAAATAGACATTCTCAAGCTATATTTCAAAGGAGATGTAGGTTGTCAAATCATGGCTGTTGTAACGAATTTTACAGGGAAGGCATAACTGTTCATACAGGGTTGTCGTACCGGAAAAGGAGGGTGTATGTGAGTTAGATGTACAGGAGTATCGTAATGAAATATCAGGGCTGTCGGGTGTGGGTGTGTGTGGGTGCGGGTGTGGGTGTGGGTGTGGGTGCGGGTGTGGGTGTGGGTGTGTGGGTGTGGGTGTTTGTGTTTAGAGGAGTCCTGAATAACATTGTCACCCAAACTGTCACCCACACCCAGTCCCAGACCCAGATCCGCACCCACACCCACACCCACCCTTGCAATAACGGTTACGGTAGCCCTGTATTGTCACTCGTACTTTAAGCTAAGTGCATTACGAAAGCCCTGAATGAGGAGTTACGATAACCCTGAAAAATTCTTTACGAAAGGTCTGTAATTGATGGCATTATTTTCTAAAATAGCACATATCAAACCACTAGTTACGATCACCCTGTAAAATTCATTACGAAACCCATGAAATTTTGTTACGAAAGGTCTGATTCTGTCGTTACGAAAGCTCTGTTACGGGCTTTCGTACTGTCAATTCGTTACGAAAGCCAGAAAACAAAAATCGTGACGAGTTGAAATGCTCCCAATATTTTATATATAGCTTTCTAAATAAAAATAAAAAAAGATAAAAATTTTAGGTATCGTAACATAAACAGTTGTAAATACTTAACAAAAGAATCGACCGATACAAAAACATGCATTCATAAAGATTGTTTCATTCAGATGTATACAATTAATTGTCAATGGAAATTATTTTTTATTTTAATAAAAACAATTTCGACATTGTTTATTTCTGAATGGATCGAAAACTTAAAGCGAATATTTCATTTTGTTTTTTAGAATATATTCGTCTATCTTTTATAGTATACGTATGTTAAGAGAGATTAAAAGAAAAGATTATTGATGTATCCATCAAATAAAATGTTGATCTATAATTTAATGTAAGTGAGCAATTCGAATCGTAGCCTGAAATTTTGTTTTAAATAGTTTAACTATACTTGATAGATGGAAAATTGAGACTGTTAGCAAGTTTCAACTGATTTTCACATTAAGGTTTCTTTTTTTAAGTTTAAGATGATGTTAGAAGCTATCCAAGTTTTAGAGAAAAGTAGATTGACAAAAACTGAAGAATCAGTTTGTGATAAATGACTTCTTCGTGCTAGCTTTGCAGAAAATCGATAGTAATTTTAATTGTGATATTTGTCTAAAGGTATCAATAAGAAACTGGATTTTCAACGAATCAAATTCGGCATACTTTTCTGTGTGCACTATTAAATTTTTTTTTCTCAAGATGAATTTCCGATGAATGTATGGTTTATGATGTTACAGAAGTAAGATCAGATAAATTTTTTTGACTGAAATAAAAATTTTCTGAGAAGTAATTATGTACTGAAATGAAAATGTCTTAACTATAATTTGTTCAAAATATATTGTCCAAAAGTATTATCATTTTTAAATTATGAAAAATTTTCAAAAAGATCTATAGATTATTATTTAGTTTGAAATTGATAGATAATATTTTGTCAAAAGGCAGCGATGAATATATCATTCGTTTTATTCAAAAACGTTTTGCTAATGTGAAAAATATTAAAGTATCTTTATAAACTATATAATCTTACGAAAACTAATCCATGCATCCTAAATCAAAGTAAATCGTGCGTTGTTGTCTTTGTTTTGCACGGACAAGATTTTGTAATACGCAATTATCACTAAAATTACATGCTTGTCTAAATACAATGGCTAATAGATCTATTGGATCAAGGTTACGTAAATCAGCCATATTTAATGTTACGCACGAGTATACAACGATGGGATTAATATTTACATTCACGATAACATGTTATTATTTATTAGGAATTGTCATACGAAGATACAGAAAATGATGATATAATTATAGTTCAAGAGATTTAATATTCCTTGTAACATATACTGAAAAAACAATATTCGTAACTTTATTTTTCTTATCGATATCCTAAGACAAATATCAAAATCAAGAATTTTTTTATTAGTACATACCTATTCTTGTCTTGATTCGAGTTTCAATTTAATTACATATAAAAGTTTGCTTTTGATTATAGTGATATTCTAAAACAAAACTGATCTAGTTCAAAGAATATATCTAATGATGAAGATTGTATTGAATACTTGAGTATTTTTGTTTTTATTTGAATAACATCTGATCTTCTTCTCATTCAAATGTACTTATCATCAAATAAAATAATCTCTTATAAAGTTTCATTTTATTGTTTTATTATTAGGTGATGGATATGTATAATGCAGCTGGTTTATTACTTGGTCTCAGTAGTCTATGTTCTTGGATTGGTATTCTACGTTATTTATCGTTCTTTCCTAAATACAATGTAAGTAAACGCATGTAATTATTTTTATTTTTTATTTTTTAATTTGATCATTTTTAGCTTTTATTTGTAACAATTCAAAAAACATTACCATTTATTCTTCGTTTTCTTTTATGTGCTTTTATTATTTATTGTGGATTTATATTTTGTGGATGGATTGTACTAGGTCCTTATCATACAAAATTTCGAACAATATCAACAACATTTGAAACCTTATTTGCATTAATTAATGGTGATGATATGTATTCAACATTTGCTAATTTAGAAACTGAATCGATTTATGTATGGGTGTTTTCTGAAATATACTTATATTCATTTATATGTTTATTTATTTATGTTGTATCAAGTTTAGTTATTGCATTAATTATTGATGGTTATGATACAGTTAAGGTAAATTTTTATTGAATGATCTTTTCTTTTCAAATATTATTTCATATTGAAAAATAATAAGAGATAAAAGAAATGAATCAAGATTTTTAATATTAGATCTATTAATTTGCTTATTTCAAGTTTAGATATATTGAATTGATTTATATTTTCAATGAATTATTAAATAATTATATTGTATCACTATCAGATATGGATCAATTTTTCAAGATCAAAAATATTTTTAGTAATACAACTCGATTCGATCTGTAGTTAAAAATAGTTTTTTTAGTCCATTCATACGAGTTTTTTTCAAAATTGAAAAGAATGAAATCATTATCTTATCTATAGTCGCTGTTTATCTTATTTGAAGTCAAACTCTGTTCTATGCAATGTTAGAAAAGATTTTGTTTTTTTTTTTTTTACGTCTTGATTTACGAGGAAACATCAAAATGAACTATTACTTTTGAATTGATATACCAATTAATAATAGATTGTGATTTATCTATTTCGTGAAACTGCAGTGTACCTATTTTCTAATTACTTATTACTATTATCTTAATGAATCGCTAAGTAAACCTTATGATACTCTAATTCAGATTTATATTGTTGTAGTATAGCAAAACTTAATATGTCCTTTTTAACTATATTCATTCAGAATGTACTTATTAGCAAATAAAGTATTTCTTTTCTGTATCTTGTTGACAGATCGATACTGTATTGAATGTATAGTTAGTTCGAGTAACGATATAATAACATTCAATGACCTACTTATAAATCGACATTAGTCTTTATTTGAAAGACATTGTGGAAGTTAAAATTTATATAAATTATAGCAACAATGGAATACATTTCATAGACAGTTCTTGATTTCTTGTTCTTATTAGGAAGCGATTCACTTTTTTAAAAATCTCTATTAAAATCATAGAACTCGTAATAAAATATTTCTGAAGTTTTTGTCTTTATTAAGAAATCAAAATGATTATAAGATTGTATTAGTTTAAAAAATAAAAAGGTGTACATAAGCAATATATGTCATATACAATCTTCTTTTGTGAATATTTCATGATTGTTGGATAATTGAAATAAAATTTGAATATTCATAATGAAATAATTCCTAAATATGATTTGTTAACTTGAACTTTTAGAAATATTATGCGGATGGATTTCCAAAAAGTCGTTTACAAAAATTTAGTGAAGAAGATACTCCTCGATGGTCAGGTCCACATGATTGGCAAGATTTAACAACAGCAATGGAAGCACGATCAGTTTGTCTTCCATGTTGTTTCAAAACGTACGTTATAGATATAATATTCATTTTCAAAAGAACATTTCTATTTTCTTTCAGTCCAAAATATATTGCAGACATGATAACAGCAGATACATATCTCAATCGACATGTTAATTCGTTTATTTAATTATTAAGGTATTTTTCAATGTTAATTGATGTTGATATACTAGAATTTTTAATTTTTGATAGTAATCTAATCTTGTTGTTTTATTTTTTTTTAGTGCATAGAAACAGCGATCAACAACTTCACATTTTGATTTATATGATTATGTTTATTTTGTTATATAATTTTTATGTAAATGTAATCAGTTTTTATTTTATCTTTGATTTTGTTCCTTTTTTTTTTTTCTAAGCGTTGTATTTATTCACAGAGAAAAAATTTCAAAACTAGTGCTTGTGATGAATTTTTAAGATGTCGTGAAGTAATCGTATATTGTTGAATAAAATTCAATACATCATTAGTTTTTTGAAAATGCAATTGATAATCAAAATAGAGCATAATTACTTTTTTTTTTGTCTATAATCCTGTTACAAACATTGACAACTGTAAGTTCCATTGTTTCTTCAAGATGGAACATGGCTTAAATTTCATAAATATCGTTTCTTCTGAAAATTTCCACAAGAATTATTGACTAATAAACGAAACCTATTTTCTTTTATAAGAAGAAGATTTTCTGCTCTTGCTTAGATGTCATCGAGATAGGAATTTTTCAATAAATTCATTATCAACACAGTGACCAATTTTTATTGAGCATATGAACATGTCTTATTTGCTATCAAAATCACATATTTTTTCATAGAGATTATCTGTTACTAAGAAAAGAATGACTAATAAAAAAAACAAAATGAAGCTACAAAAATTTTTCAAAGAAAAACTCCTCAGAGAACTCTTATCTTAAATTTTTATCAAAAAAAGCTGTATTTTAAAATAACTAACATACTAAACGTTATTCGATGCAATTTCTTACGCTGATTTTTAAGCTGTTATTACTTTTGTCTAAAGGTACTTGTGAGTCAAATAAAGTGTGAAAAAAACCATGGTTATTCAGGGAATCTGTATCTCAGCTTAGCAGCGTTTGTACTAACTGAGCAGACGTGTCAGACAGAGAAAAACATTGTGTGCAAGTTTCGTAGGATTTGGAGCTATGCTAAAGTGTGCGCATTCATTACATTGAATACACATTTTTTGAAAAACTCTTAATTGAGAAAGAATGCACACTTTTTTTTTCATAGGACAAGTTTTAGAACAATGTTTTTGTTATAGAACGAGAGACTAAGAGCTCTACTTTCAGAATCTACATGATTTATTCTACAGATCTTTTTATTTTTTTTCGACATTCTTTGAAAACAGTTACGTTTTACTTAGATGGAAGAAATCTGACCACTTTTTGAACCAAAAGTTGGGTATTAGCCGGAGTCTATTGGACATTATTAAACTTGCGAAAGAAATTTCTTTTATCTTGTCATCGAATGTTGAGGTTATTGTGTATCATCTATTCGAGATATAAAATGATTCCCTTTTTTTAGGTTATAATAGACCACTTCAGAGTGTTATCTATACTTCGACATTTGTAATATTGACTACGATGTATATTGGAAGAATTTTTGGTTGAATTATTAGGTGCATGGATTAATTACTTCTAATACTTTATAAATAATATGAGAGTTTTTTTTTCATCTCATGTTTCTTATTATTTCGAAAAACCAGGTAAAGTTCAATGAGAATAAAAGATTTCAAGTCAAGAGTTAATCATAAAAAAACAACTCTTGCAATCAGAAGTCTGTTCTTTACATGAGAGGTTTGATAAATCTGATAACCAATAATGTCTTAAACAAGAGACACATATGAATAATAAAGTAATTCATTCAGGATAAATAACGTGTATTCTTATTTACCTAGGTAAATACTATTACTAGCGAAGAAAAATATTTACAACATAACTTAATTCTTATCCTTTCTCGGTAACTTATCAACGTAAAGAATTCATCAAGATACAGACAAGAGTGTATTATTGATCATAATAATAACACACTCAGCTATGGCTGTAGTATCCTCTATAGCATCAAGCAAAACTTCTAAAATATTTCATCTTATTTGGCTCGATGCTTCAGTAAATGATTTTGATCACAATTACCAAGTTCAACAACATCTTCGAACATTAATTAATCGTTTAAGAACATTTGAATCTGTTGATGTATATGAGCAATACATTCAATCATTATCTAAAGAAGATCGAATTTTTCTTATTACTAATGGTCAATTAGGTCGACAAATTGTTTCTCATATAAATCAACTGCAACAAATTTCTTCCATTTATGTTTATTGTATGAATAAAAATTTCAATGATGAATGGGCTAAGCAATATTCTAACGTAAATACCAGATAAAATTTTTGAAAAATGATAATATTTTAATTTTTCGAGATAAAATGTGTTACTGTTGAATTGAATGAACTTTTTAATTAAATTCAATGGAATCTAAAGCAAGAAAAGCATAAGAAAGTTAATGAATCAATATCAATTAATATTTATGATTCAAATGAAGAAAAATCTTTTACAGGAATCATTGATCAATTTATATATTCACAATTATTAATCGATTGTGAAATCAAATTTAATTGATAAACAAGAATTCATTCAGTTTTGTAAACGATATTATAAAAAAGATCAAATCCAATTAAATAATATTCAAGAATTTGAAAATAATTATACATCAGATAAAGCTTTATGGTGGAATACAAAAACAATTCGTGTTTTTATCGTTTATTAAGTAAAACACTTCGACAAGAAAATATTGATCTACTATTTTATTTTCGATTTTTTTTATGATATTAAACAAGAACTTGAACAAAATAAATGTTCTTTATTTCATTTAAATTATTTCTTTCACCGAGTCTTGATCTTCATGCATCTCGATCATTTCTATCAAATTCAGATAATAGTGAACTAGTCATATTTCATATTGATGCTAATCCTAAACTAAATCATATTAAACCATTTAGTGATATCACTTTAAAAAGTTCTTATTCAGATGAAGAAGAAGTTCTTTTTATACTAGGATCAATTTTTCAATTAATTAATATTTATCATCATCAAGATGGAATATGGATGATTCAGATAAAACTATGTAGTTATAATGATCGTCAATTAAAATCACTTTTTCAATATATAAAAAATGAATATGATGATGAAGAAAAAACTCTTCTTTCGTTTGGACATATTTTAGAAGATATGGGAAAATATGATGATGCTGAAAAATATTATCGTCGATTATTAAATGAATTAACTTATGATCATATAGATCTTGCTGCATGTTATCTTTCACTTGGTAATGTAGTTCATGAATCAAATCTTGAATGACAATATAAATCTCTTGAAATTAAACAAACAACTTTAAAATCCAATCATCCAAATATTGCAAATAGTTATCATAATATTGGTAATATTCATCGAAAACAAGGTGATTATAAAAAAGCATTCAGAGACAATTATTTATATCTAGCTCTTTGTTTTCAAAGTATGGGTCTTGTTTATGATGAACAGAAGAAATACATGAAAGCATTGGAATTTTATCAAAAATCATTGAGTATTCGTCAAATATTTCTTCCTGCACTACATCCACATAGTGGACATTCACATAATAATATTGGTGCTGTTTATCATCCCTTAGGTAATTATGATCGAGCATTGAAACATTATCAATTCTCACTTGATATAAAATCTAAATCTCTTCCTTCTGAACATCTTTCTATTATTGTTACACTTGAAAATATTGGTATTTTACATGAAAAGAAAGGAGATTTTCAATAAGCACTTAACTATTATGAAAAAGCAGCTTTAATCATAAAATCCTCATTGTTGATATCACATCCAGACGCTATTCAAAATCAAGAAAATATTCGACGAATTTCATATAAATTGCAATAATTAATATAACTTAGAATTTATTATACATTCACTGATAAGGATTAATGTTCTTGTATTTTTCCACAGGCATATTTCTCTTGTTTGAAACAATGTTAATTTGTATTGATTACAACCGATTTCAATTGATTCCTTATCATTTTTTAAAAATAACACTAAAATATGGGCGTTGTCAAACTTTAATAGAAAATAAAATCGGATGCATTGAAATGATTTAAAGTCTTTAAGGAAATTAATACATTAAAACGCATTAATTTCAATGCGTTTTATTTCAATGATTGTAATGTATTAAAATTTTTCATGCACTAGAATGCAACTTGTATCATGTCTTATAATTTGCGATATTTCCTATGAACTATAATACATGAAATAGATGTCATTATCATGTAAGCGCATTCATGTTTTCCTATAGCAAAATAATGCATTATAATATTCATTATCTTCCTATGACAAGATAATGCATTACAATAATTCATATTTTCTTATGATAAAATAATTCATTATAATATTAATTATTTCAAACATTGGATGCATGAGTAAGAACAATGAATAGCTGCGTTGATATGAATTGAAAATTAGTTCGTCAAGCTATTGCTAGTTTTTTACTTGAATTTCAATATTATTAGATGCTAATGTCGGAACGATAGTAGAGACTATTATCCGGATATTAACTTAAATATGTTAAAGCAGATCATATTTGTTGAAAAGCCTTCCTTGACATATTTAAACATCAAACAAAGATAATCGCCTTTAGTCCATGTCTGTGTTTACTACAGAATTAGAACTGATAAGGTTTTTCTCTTACTGGTATCAGTATTACTAGAAACTCCAGACCGTACTAGAGTTGTACGTCGACCGACATGATTTATTCGTTCTCTTTGTGATCCTATAATCGTTAAATCAACTCTTTGATTAATCACATCTGCGTCCTTAACTCTAAAGTAGTTATATGAGAATCATTTTTTAGTATTTTTCACTATCGATTTGTATAAGTCTTTTCTTTCTAGATATCTATTCTGGAACAAAAGATTTCATAAGCCTATGAACGCTTTATCAGCTTTCGACATTGATTAATTGTATATTTAATCTACTTCCTATATTATATTCACTTGATCACTTTTTTATGTCTGTTCGAAATATATTCTATAAGCAATAGACGAAAAAAAACAAAATCTATTATAAACTACAGTGTTAAATAATTATTCAATTTCGTTTTGATAGTAAAACTTGATATGAAAGTGATTTAATAGAATGTGATAAGTGTACTATGGTGAATTTTTATTGCATGTAATAATTGGTTCGATGCATGTTTCATCATTGGAATAGTCTTTGACATTAATAAAAAGTGTTTCAATTTGCTAAACAAAAACACTTTCATAATCATTCTTTTGGAAAAATATGCAAAAAACTCAAAAAATTCCTACTGATCGGTAAGAAAAAAGTTATGTCTACTGACCAATAAAAACCTTCTATTGGATCTATCGTTACCGGTTACAACTCTGTCTTGTTCTTAGAAACATCTATGAACGCAAATCTGAAGAAATATTTCTATCCAAAACAACTCAGGATATTTTTTAGCATTCTAGACGTTTTTAGATATTTTTTGAAGTACACCTGTGTGGCGCTTAAGACATGTTTAAAGACGATCAGCACACAAATGCACATGAAGTAATAAATGCTTGAGTTCGGTCCAAACTTCGTGCATCTAAACGTACTCAACGTACAGACTCACATATAGTTCAAGAGCCTGTAAACTTGTTTATTTTTCAAACGCATTACAATTCATTTATAAGACATGGTTGTATGCATTCTGTTCTAATTATAAACTAATTTGAGCGCATTTTCATCGTCTTTTCATGTTATTCACGATACAGCGTGTTTGATGAAAGCACAAAAAAAATGCATTCATACACACACGATGTTTTTTTTATGTTTAAAGTAACAAGTTATTTTATACGCATACGTCTATTCTTTACGTAGTGCAGAGCTTGAACGATGTCAAGAAAACGATATTTTTATTTTTGATTGATATAAGCGTGATATATTTTAGCACAACACTGCACATGCAGATTGAATCTGACAGATCTTATGATTCATTGACATCATCAGATTCTCATGGCAAAGTCCAATATAGTAAAAAGAAAAGAAGAATACGCCTGGAAGGATTTGTCTGCACGCATGTCAAGCATGACTCGATAGAAAGCGGATTCATATTAACACTCTCTAGTGTGCTGGGATTGGTTGCAAACTGTAATATTATTGGATAGTTACTTGTAACTTAAGTTTTATCATGTTCTCTCTTAGAAAAAAAAACAATGTGTATTGTAAGTATAGATGTATCTTATTCAATAGTTAGCAATGCATGAGATAATTATCAAATAACTTTATAAGTGCGTATTAGTTTTATTTGATATTGGTTTTTTTAGTCTAGTATTATAATCATACTCTATGTCAATGGATAATACAACAATCTTCGATAGCAATGGCGTTCATGCTGTTGATCCACCTCTTTCGAAAATTATCAAATTTTGGCTGATCGTCTTTTCTGAAGCGGCATCTATTCCTTGTTATTTGTTTGTAATCTACACATATCTGGTTCATAGAGATCTACGAGAAGCCCTTCATAATCATGCTCTTATTGGCAAACTTATGATCAACTTCGTCATTCTAACGATCGATTTATCTATGCATTTGAACTTTCTTCGTTTGGATCGCGTTCTACCTTCTACTGTTGGTGCTTGTCTTCTTTGGCAGTTGGTCGATTATGGTTTTTGGTTCGGAGATGTTTTTCTAACATGTTGGATGTCAATTGAACGATATATTCTTATTTTCTGCACGAATCTAGTTAACACCTCATATAGACGCTTGTTCATTCACTACATTCCATTGATGTTTTTTACTTTCTATTGTCCGATTGTTTATGTTTATTTAATATTTTTCTATCCAATAGCACACGATTATGATTATTCCCTTCTCTTATGTGGTGGTCCTTATTATTACAACGGTATACCAGCCTGGTTAATATGGTATGAATCTCTCGTTCATTACGTCATTCCCATCTTTCTCACTGTTATACTGAGTGGTGCCATGATCATTCGTGTTATAGTGCAGAAATTTCGCTTACGTCAAACTGGTCGGTGGCGAAAATATAGAAAGATGCTTGTTCAATTTATGTGCATATCAGTAATCTACATTTTTGATCTACCTTACATTATTGTCACCATTGTACGTTGGTCAGGATTACCCGATTTTGGATCAGATGTACAAGGACCCTACTTTTACTATGTCAACTATCTTCCCACAATTCTACTCTCGTTTACACTTCTTGGTACTATTCCACACTTGAGAGAAACTCTTGTTGCTTGGATACACTGCAAAAAACCACAAAGAGCCGCTTCTGTCGCTCCGTACATGACTTGTCGCTATTAACAGTACTACTATGAAGACATCAACCTTAGAAAACTGATGTAAACCTTAGCTAAATGATTGTTTATATTGTTCTGCTTTCAATAAAATTAGCTCTCATTGTTGTCAATGAAGTTATATTTGATCATTGAGTACTGCACATTTAGTGATCTTATATGAAAAAAATATTTCTAAAGAATTTCAACTAGGTTGTACAAAAATTATCTTCGATTTAAAACTCAGAAAAAAAGGTTTCACACGATCTTTTCAAATTATTTTTAGTAGTTTCGTAAACTATTACAAAACTGAATATAAAGTCCAAGACTTTGTTTAGATTTCTTTTTGCACAAACACATCGGTTCATATTAAATTTTACTACAATTAGAAAAAAAATTGACGCTTAAATATATTGTGACTAGTCATCCATCACACAATAATAATGTGATGACTTGCATCCTCGACTATTCCAAGATGCTAAATTGCTCAATATCGTGGCGAGGTTTATTCGATTGAATTTCATTTGCTGTACAACACCGATGATACAAAACTTCCAGTGTTTTTGGAACAGCTAAAACACTGAGTTAACATTGTTAAGTAGACTTTCCAGTAATTGCATTTAAGGAGTGGATTTTCCGAAAGAACTGTCATGAGAAAAGTTTGACATTTCCTCAAGAATGCTGTTGGACAGTTTGAACTTAGAAGTTAGGTCTATGACATCTCAACTCAGTTTTATTTCTTTTATTCTACGAGTCAATGCTTATAGGAATAGTACTGCATCTGGAAAACTTTTTTGGTGAAATTTCGAAGTCAATGTCAAGGATCGACGTCCTCAAAGCATCAGACGTTAATCATGAAGTATAGGAGAAGAAAATACTCAGATAAAAGGTCTCATTTGAATGAAATCGTAGAAAAAGAACAGAATAATAATTGATAATCAGATTCGAGATACCATATTGTGTTCACTTTGGTCGATGCTATTCAATCAAAGAAAAAAACACACATCACATACTCATAAGATATTTTTCTGTTCCGTGTTTCATCGATTTCACGAGCAAGTACATGTAATTACTATGAGTAATCTCAAAAAATGATCAAAGAAACTATGTATTTTAATATAATAATAATTGGATAACTTTGCCATAAAAAAGAAAGTTTTGCTTTGTTTAGTCGACACTTACTAGGAGTATTTCAAGATCAAGAAAGATTGTCTAGTTGACCAAAATATTCTTAGAAAAATCTAATTGATTCACAAGATTTTTGTCTTGTATTTATAAAACAAGTATATTTTCTATTGAATGAGAACTATTTTCGTTTTTTTATTGATTAATCCACATCTGTATGAGACGAGATTCCTGTCGACGAATCGAACATTTTTCTGGCAAAACACGTCGAAACCATTCAATTAATTCATCTTTTGAAAATAATAATGAATTATTATTCCAAATATCATCTTGACATTCACATTTCAATGCTCGAAGATTATGCATCGTACGGACAAGATCAAGAACAATTGCTCGATTTTCAACGCGAATTCGAAGAACTTCACATTGTCGTCCAATTAATGAATCAGCCAAGATAGAACATTGTGTAGCATTCATATATCGATTCATTTTTGCACGATAATGTTTCAAATGAAGTCGACGAAGTGATGAATGAGTAATATTCAATTGTGTCAACAGTAAGAATAAAGTCGCATCAATACATAAAAATTCTAGACGAGGTGCTCGATTAAGTAAATTTTTCAGTTGTAATTCGGATTGACTATTTTCTCTTGTTTCAATAACTTCTAGAGATGTCAAATGATCCAATGTAGGAATGATAGTCCAAAATTTATTATCGAAAGGAAGTCTCAATGTTAGTCGATGAATGCCAGGGTAGCATCTACGATATAAGCTTGAATTATCGATGGGTCCTTTATACAACACATTAGTTACTCGATTGTAAGAGTTATAGTCGTGAGCATTGGGACAAGTCGACTTCGACCATCTGTTCGAGTAAACACCACAACTGTTACCAAAACAATACGGTAAAGTATAGACAATAAAAACTTTTTTAGTATGTTGTGGCCAATCACATCGAATAAACCATTGATGATCTTGAAGCCAAAAAGATGTTTGAAAAGTTTTTAGTAAGTCGTCGAGTTGTTCTTCCATGTTATTATGTTCTATTGATAAAACTTTCATTAGAAATCGAAATATTTTTATCTTAGGTATATAATCGTTCAAGATTTCTTTCCATTGATTTCCATTCAAATTAATTGCACTTGTTTCGAGCGTAAAATACTGCAAATTCGGCATACTTTGCAAAATATTAGTCAAAGCAGCTAGTGAACCATCAAAGTTAAGTTTTAAACTAATGATTGATGGAATGATATGTCTTGTATCTAACTCAGCATTACTACTCTGACCAAATTGAATACAAAGATGCTGAAGATAAGATGTTGAATTCAATAGATGAGTGAGTCCAATAGAAGAAAATATAACATTTTTTATCAATAAATATTCAATAGATGTTGAAATTATGGGTAGTTCAGCAAATGTAAGTCCATCCTCGAAAATCACATCTAAAGTACAATGTTTCAGTCGGGGTAGACGCCAAATGTTATTGATTATCTGGTGAGAATTTTTATCATTTGCAACGTGACATTCAATGATTTTCAAATGAGTAAGATATGGCAGATAAAAACAATCCGATGTGATATTAAAAATTGTATTTGAAGAATCAATTTTTTGAATTAAAAGTGATCGTAAATGAGTAAATTCATCAATAGTAAGACCATAATGAATGAGAAGTTCAGGTAATTGTGGAGTTTCTTCACTATCTGACAAACAAAGTGAACTGACCTGATCAATAATTAATGGCAAATATTGTTCACACATATGATGAAAATTTGATTTCGAAATAGAACGAAAATCCAGACGATATGATTTGAAATAAATGAACAGAAGTCTATCGAAACGAGTGTTGAGACTTTCAAAAGTGCGGATGAGTTGAATAGGATCGAAAAACTCGAATAGATCTAGAAAGAATTCGTTGGGTAACCATTCCAACTTCATCTTTCTTATTCTCTGCAAGAGAAAAACAAAAAATCGTACCGAATGTTTGCTTTTAGATGAAAAGACAAATGTCTGTCTTCATTAGAACGTGATTTTTAAGTTTGTATTTGTTTTATGATGAATGTCGCAAGGATTGCTTCTTGACTTAATCATAGTTTTTTCTTTCATGATGAAGGTAACGATCAGACGAAAGGAAAAAACCTTGTTTGAAACTTTAACTTTTCTTCCTTCCTTCCTTCCCTTCTCATTCATAGTAATGTGAGAATGAGACACTTTTTTCCAACTTCGCAAGTACAAAAGGTAACTGGGTATTTACCTGATTAAAAGATAGACGCCAAACGAATATTGACCAAGTGAAAACCATACTCAACTAATATCCATTTCAAAAAAGAAAAAGGTTGGATATGTTTTTGAATAAATTTTGATAGAAACAAGATAAAAAGCTGCGATTTTCACTATTCGAAAAAAGAGATGAAACTGCATCGAACTGTATATATCACATTTTTCTAAAATGGTTTTGCAAGGGTTCTAGTCAAATTGATCGAAAAAATGAATGCTTTTTCATAGGTTGAAACGACGCACTATTTGTCAAAAAGTATGAAAAGAAGCCGTATTTTTCGTGAAAATTCGGTGGAAAAAAATTTAGTAAAATATATATAAGTCACGATAGATTGGAACTACTAAAGTCGGATTTGTACCGTTTGGAGACCTTTAGTTGGTGGTTTTAATACACTCCTGGAAATCAAATTCTCGGAACTTTCACACGACTAAAGATTTTGTTTTCGATAAACTTGACCAGAACCCTTGAGGAACCATTTTAGAAAAATACGATATATACTGTTCTATGTAGTTTCATCTCGTCTTTCGAATGGTGAAAAGCGCAGCTTCCTATCTTGTTTCTATCAAAATTTATTCAGAAAATACCCAACCTTTTTCATTGTTGAAATGGGTATTAGTTTCAATTTGATTATCAAAGTTTTATTAGAAAAATCGAGTTTAGAGCGAACATGATTTTATTGTCATCTATTGATTGGTACTCCAAATATGGTCCAATCACGATCATGATAATGTGAATTTGTTAAATCGAGAAAAATTAGTAATCGAACACCAAAAAGTCTGTTGATATAAGTCTGAAAATGCGATGAATAGTTGCTCAAAAGCGATCCGTTTCAACTGAGCGAAGGCATACTGCAATTCGATAGCTAATGTGGTTTAACACATGATCAACTACATCGATCACAAGATCTATGTGTGAAATTTTCATGGATTTTCATTCGTGATTGTCGATTTCTCTATAGCACTCCGCATTACTTATAGATATCAGCTGATAAAGCTACATATACAAGCAAGTCTGTTCTTAAAAGTATTAACATTGCTGAAGTTTAGTCTGACGAAGCACAAATCTATTTTTTTTATTGAATATCTTTTAGAAAAGACTATCGAAAGAGGCAATAATTCAAAATTTGAGCAGCCTTTATTTTTCAATCATTTGATGTACATGTGGATGTGGATAGTCTACTTTCTGAGATGCACACTCATATAGTACACGTTTCTCATGATGTACGGAAGGCCAAAAATATGTCGAAATCGTCTGATCTTACATGGCATCTTACTATTCAATGTGCATCTCTTGTGGTGAAGCCAGGACTTTTCACTTTATTGGATCTCGGTTTTAGAGCATGGGATCTAGATGAAACCTATAAGAGGTTGATATTGAACCTAGATGATGAGTTTTTATCAAAAAACTTTTTCGATTGGAGTTTGCGAAAAATATTTTTTTCCTGAGCTCCTCCTAGATAGTTTTTGCTGTTTATAGTATTTCATTTTTTGGCAGTTAATAGTAAGCTACGTCGAATTTCGTCTAAGAGTATCGATTCGTTCACGAGTTACAACGTTTTTGAAGTTTTTACTAAAATTTTAGCAACCTGTAGCAAAAATTCAAAACGGTATAAGTTGTGAATGGATCGATATTATTAGATGAAATTCGACTTCGCTTACTATTAACTTCCAAAAAAAGAAATACTATTAAAAGCGAAAGAAATATCTTGAGGGAGCTCAGAAAAAAAAGCTTTTTTCGCAAACTTCGATTAAAAAAATTTTTTGATAAAAACTCATCATCTAGGCTCAATATTTTCATCTGGGCCCCATGCTCTAAAACCGAGAAACAGTATAGTGAACAGTCCTGGCTCTGCCACTACCCATCATTTTAGAAGAAATCAACTATATAAAAGAAAAAGATATCAATGGTTTAATACAATCAATACTGTAATTATTATTGTGTAAATAGACTTATGGAAAAAAAAACGTTTTGAAAAACTGGACGTCCGAGGAGAGGAAGTTTCATCGAAACCAGATGTTTTTGGACAGAAAAGGAGAGTCAAAAAATGCCATTTTAACCTGAGCCTTCTTTATAGATGATCTTAATATATACAAAAAAAAAGTTGTATCACTCTATATTTAGATAAGAAACAAGCATGCACAAGTAGTTAGTGAAAATGACTCGTATTTATTTAAGATTTGCTTCACATCATATGAATGATGTCATATTGATGGTGTAATTACTGTCTTGGTTAGATAAATAAACGAAATTATATTATTTAAAAAGCAAAAGATGTCTGCTGTGTCTATCAATAGAATTAAACAAGAACTAATGTATCATTTCGGTAAGAATCAAGAGAAATCTTTTTTTTTTTAACTTTATTTTGCAAAATTTATTGAAATAATTCTTTTTGTTTTGACATTTAGAAATAAAAAATATTTTTCGATCACGTCTTCCATTACAATTGACATTATCTCAAATAACTAAATTATCAAATCAATTTAATTTATCATCAGTAGAAATTGAACGATGGTATGAACGTTTTATTCTTTGTTATCCATATGGTTATGTTTCATTTCAAGAATTTCTAATTTATTTAAAACAATTAAATATTTACGGACAAAATCAACAATATCAATTGTCAAAATCATTAATTAAACAACTATTCTATACTTTGGACATAAATAATGATAAACAATTAAATTTTGAAGAATTTTTTCAATTCAATTTATTAATTAATCAAGGAACAAATGAAGATAAACTCAAATTAATATTAAATTTACATGATCGACAACAGAATTATTATACACAACAAAAAATTGTAAATATTTTAACAAATATGTTTGCTTTTCTAAATATTTCTCAACTATCAAATGGTTTATCACAAAGAATCAATACAATTTTAATAAATGCTAATATGAATAATAAAAAGAGTAAAATCTGTTGGAATACATTTTGTACATATATTCTTAATAATTCATCGTCACTTCAACTTTTATTATCAAATTCTATCAACAATGAAAATTTTGAAGAAAAGTTAATAACACCATGTTGACTATTTAAAAATTTTTTTTTTTTTTGATTTTTTAATTTTTGTATCAATAAATGATAGTAATTCTTTGGAAATAATTAAGAAAATATTTATAGCGAATAATTTGTGATTAGATTATGGAAATTAGAATTTTGAAATGAAAAGCTAAATCACAAAAAATCATCCATTGGTTTCTTTCAAAAACAAAAAAAAAAGAAATTGTACGTTCAAAGATTCAGATGAAAATATCGTCTACTATATTATTTAGATGACAATACATTTAATTAAGAAATTGTTTGATCAATATTTGTTTTCATATATTTTCAAAACGACTATATCAAAGAATATGTCCACACACGCATATCTCGTTATCTAACTACGTAGGCAGGATATCATTACTTTATTTTTATGACGAGTGTTTGTTCTATAAAAGAAAAGTCAAATGATCTATTGACGCCATTATTTATTTGTTATCAACAGCTGAATTTCTTTTTTTTTGTTAACTTTACTCTTCAAACTCTTCATATTTATCTATTCCTTAGTAAATATTAAAAGACGACAACTATTTGATTCAACATAAAGAAGGGTGTGGGTGTGAAGGGGAAAACATCCACACCCACATCCTTAAACACTTAGGAGTAAGAAAAATGAAATAATTATTTATTAGAGCAAGATTGACGAAATGTCAAAATATAATTAACCTATATGACTTAATTTAACAAGAATAATATTAGCAAATGCAAAAACAAAAAATGGATACTTGTGATTTAAAAAACTGAGAGAACATTGAAGCTTGCATTTTTGATTCTATAAATCAAATCATCAATTCAATTCAACGAACACAATAAGTTTTTCATTATCTTCATTTGATAATGATTTTAAACATAAGAATTGAAATAAAATCAAAGTCTCGCTAAAATAATCAATCATAAAAATTGCTAGATAATACTTTCATTCTTTATTCGACAACGTATTTCTCTATTTATAATCTTTTTTGAATTATTCAAATGTACAATAATTGTTTTAAGTAGCTTAGAAAGATTATCAAAAGAAGCCATTCATTAAATTAATTTGTTTCATGCATTTATCATTTGTGATAGTTTAGATTCAATTGAAACTTCGACAGAACTCGTCTTATATTCTTGATACATTAGTCAAAAGCAAGGCAATATCATATATTAGCTCTTTGACGTGTCCATTACTACTTCAGTAAGATCATTTGTCCTATATTGGCATATGAATACAAAACGCATGAATGCTCAATAATTAACATAAATGATCATATTTCTCTATATCGATGGATAGTAGTTCTTGATTTTAAGTCTTCCTTGTTATGTGTCACTCAAGTGCTGAAGGGAGAGCAGTTTATTTGATTTCAGATCGGATGATTTATGTCTTTTATTTATCAGTACATCTGTATCAACTAATTCTAAACCATACTGACATAATGTATTTTTCATTCAGATGAGTGTCCGAATTCTATGCCGTTCGAAATATACTATTAAATAATTTTGCGCTTGCTGTTTATCGTAGATGAATATCAATTTCTTCTCTTGAAGGATCTATTTTACTTGAGCAATTGTGAATTTATCGTCTAGTATTTAACCAATGAATATCTAATTCTTGTTGTGTCTATGTCAGAATTATCTTGTCGTGAGAAAAGAATGATTATATTATATTAAACGTATCTTATAAAGTATTGTCATAGATTCTTGATTTTTATTAATGATCAAATTATGTATTTATGAATGAATTGAACGTTGAATAAAATCTCTTAATTTTTGTCTAAAATTTGAATCATTTGGACAATAATGTCCTCCTTTATGTATATAAAATTCAGCTACTAATGGATTAAAATATTGAAACACTTTTTCACTCAGTTCTGGTGTTATTAAAGTATCATTCATTCCTGATATATGAAAAGACGGTAGTAATTGATTTTGTTTATCAAATGTTTCTAATATTGGTTTAATTGTTTCGTCGTTGATTTGAGGACAACCAATAAGAATAACAAATTTAATACAATTAGGAAGTATTGGCCAATTAGGAATATTTAAAAGCATTGTAGCACAAACAATTGCACCTTGAGAAAATCCTAATAAACCATTAAATGGTCCATTGTTATTAATATAGTTTATTACATATTCAATACTTTCTCTGATTGTATCATAATTATAGTTTGTAACTGGATCTTCAGGTTTATAAGACATCCATTGATATCGTTGTTCATTTGAAGAATTATCTGATGATTTTAAAAATCCATAATCAACAAATAAAAATGGTGCATTTATAAAAATAAATTCCATATCTTTCATTGATCGAATTAAAGTACGCATTTGATATTCACGATTTTGTGCACTATCACAAAAACCATGTAAAACTAAAATACGAATTTTAGGTTGATCAACTTTTGCTGCCATACTTTAATAAAATATAAAACAAATAAGGATTAATTTTATTATGAAATTTGTTATTTTATCGATTCGTTATATTCGTTCGTCCAATAAGAATATTGATGTACTATATGTCGCCTCTTGGCATTCATTTTACTAAAAAACCTTTAATATTCGAATACATTTTGTTATCATCACTTTGATACAGTGCAAAAAGGAATTATTATTACGAAGAAGAAGAATAGTACTGTTTCATCTATCGGCTACGTTTGAACTATACTATACTGGAGTTGATTCGATCAAGTTTAGTAATTAGTCAAAAATCTCTGTCACCAAGAATATTTTAACCACTTTTATTTTCTAGTTTGCATCTAAGTTGATCTTATTGATTAATAATATTCTTTAATATATCAAATTTATAAATTCAATTATTCTCACTAACGAAAGAACCTTTTCGAGTGTGCTCATATATATGCCAATCTTATAAGTTGAACTTAAATGAAAACAATTTTTCAGTTTCAAGTCAAAACTTTCAAATAAATACAACCACTCCCTCGATTTAGGTACCACGAAAACATAGATAATTAAAATTAAAATGTTGAAACTTGAATAGTAGTTGTTCAATTGAATTCAATTTTCAAGTTTGACATCTCTGCATCTTCATAGATATTGAAAGTTATATGTTAATTCTAGTAGATGATTGTCCTTTTAACGATCATACATCAATCAACATCTAATTTCTTACAAGTGTTGCGTTCTTCGATTGTTTATCATAAGATGCTTAAGCTATTATAATTAATACTTGCTGATAAAATGACTTCACTATCAAATGGGTGCTTCACAAAGTTATTTTAACAGGAAAAAATTGTTAACTCTCGATTACCATTTATCAAATGAATATCGAATTAACCAAGAATCTGACCGATGCCGAGAATTTCTGATAAGTCAATGGTTTTAGTATGTGAATTGGTTTGGCTAGGCAAATGCTCTAAAAAAATGTTGTTATACACTTCTGTAGTAAATTTAAATTTGCTCTCGACATGAGAAACACTTTTTTGCTTAGTTTTTTGAAACACGATTCTAGTCTTGGGACTTGAAAGATTGTACACTTTTAGTATCAAATGGTTTAGCTTTCATTGAGTTATGACTATAACAAAATTAAAAGTGTTGTTCTATATTCAACATGAAAACACACTTTTTTTTGAACGTTTTGGAACATTCATTTGTACTTAAGAAGTTGATTAATGAGAAAAATATTGGTTTTTCTCGAATGAATGATGCTAAAAGCTAGGTATTTAACACTGTTGCTATAATATCTCAGAAACTAAAACATATTGAAACTTGATTTTGTCAGAAATGAATAATTATTTTTAGATTAATCCGTCACAAAAAATATGTACATATAAATCAATTAAGTAGAATTCAGTTTAAAGACATTTATTTTTTCATGGTACAATGGTGATACTCTTCGCTCATATAATTGTATTCAACATTAATGCAAAAGATGTCGATAATGTCGGTTTTCATATTTATTTTTTATTCCTTGCTCTTTTCTGTAATGCACTGTTTAAAATCAGTCGATTTGTGTTTTTTTTTGTTAATAAAATAATGAAATATAGGTCTTACAAAAAAAAGAAAACATCTAATATAGGATACATAGCAAAACTTCTATTAGAATTTTGTATTTTTAGGGTCAATTATAGAACATTTTTTTCGTACTGTGAAGTTTTTGTTCATTATTGTAAACAAAGATGCTTTTCAAGGTTTTTTTATGATACAGCACATTTGCGATAAGTTTTGATGTTTACGAAGAAAGAAAAACTAACTGAATGAAAAAAAAAAAACAATTTTTTTTCTTCTTTCTTTCTATACGTCAAAAAAAAACATGATTTCATTACCTATGTACCTCTTTTTTAATAGAAATCAGTACTCTGAAAGTTAAAAAACAATATTGTTTTTTATTTGCAAATTAATATTCAACACATAATCAAGTGAGTATTATTATGAAAAAATAATCATATTCAAACAATAAATAAATTATAAATAAGCACAAAATCAATACATCATGATTATTGAGTACCTTCTAAAATCTATATTCTTTTATTAGTATTGATTGATTCAATAAATTCATGACATTTTTATCCGAATATCAAGTTGATACAAGAATAGAAATAAAAATATGATTTTGATAATTATCACATGTTGTTTTATCTTAATTTTTGGTGAGTGTTATTATTTTTGCAAAATTTTATGAAATTTCAACATTAGTAATTCAACCATGTCGTACTCTACGATGTTATTCATGCCATGGAACAAAACAATGTAATTTATCATTTTCAAAATTCAATGATATGAAACTTATGGATGGAAATGATCTGTATGATTCTTGTTCGGTTAGTATGAAATTATAGACAAAAAAACAAATATTGATATATATATATATTTTTTTTATGATGATTTATTTTTACATGTGAAATAGATAACCTTAAGTTCAGATGGTTTAATTATTCGAAATGTTATACCATCGCATGCTTGTCGAAGTTCAGCTTATCAATTTTGTTGTAATCAAGATCTTTGTAATTTTCTTCCTTCACCGCCATTACCAGCATTTACTACACTCACATGTGCTATTAATGACTGTCGGATGAATAATAATCAATGTAACAATTCAAATGATTCTGTTATCTATCGAAGTAGTGCTACTGAATCATGTATTGTGAGTCTATCATACACAAAATCGTTTTCTCTTTAGGTAGTTTATTTTTAGGACTTTTAGTTATAAAAACCTCAAAAGATTGAGATTAGCATTATTTTTCATATTTGAAGACTCTCAAAATTGTTTTGGCTTTCTGAAAAATTCCTTTCATTATAAATGATGAGATGTTTTTATGTTTTCTTCGAAGCGAAATCAAAAAGGCCTAAGATTCATTCAATCGTTTATTTGTTTTCCAATTTATTCTTCAAATATCAGATCATAAGTATAATTCTAGCTCTTTTGTTTTTTCATATAGAGAATTCATCGTGATATTGTTTACAAATCATATCAAATAGGTTGTTCACCTAAAACTACTGCAATTACATCATTAACTGGTGAATTGATATCTGAAAATTTATTTTGTTGTAATTATCCCAAATGTAATCAACGAATTTTTCCACCAGGTGAAGCTATTCGTTGTTATACATGTGATTCACGTATAACTGGTTTGAAAGATTGTATGATATTGAATACATCTAGTTCACATGTTTATAATTCTGCATCATCGAATCCATCGGAATCGTGTGCTGTGAGTAAATATGAATGAAAAATTTATAATATTAATTTTTTTTTTATTAACTATAATTTTTCTAAGATGATTGTTGGTCAAACAGGAAAAGATCTTATGACTGGACGCAATTATCCAGCTTTTACGATACGTACTTTTATTAATAATTGTATTAATCAATCGTTAGGTAATGTAACATATGGTGGTGCTACTTTTCAAGGTCGTATTGATTGTTGTTCGACTTCTCTTTGTAATATACATCGTAAGTTCTAATTCAAAAAAAAAAATAATTAAAACAAATTCTGTTTTCTCTTGTTAATCTAGCTTTGTATATTAATTTAACATCGTCAACAATAAAATCAAAACGTGTTTTTTCTACTTCAAAAGTTATTGTATCTACTTTGATTATATGTCTTGGATTCATTTTTATTATCATCGGTATTTCATTATCAATATATCGATTTCATCTGAACAAATCATATCATTGTTATACTCCAGGAATTTTTAGTGATGGTTCAACAACATTATTTTTATCATCACGTTTAAATTAATCATGATTACTTTCAAAAAGAATTTGACTACTAATCATTTCAAGTCGATATGATCGAAGAAAATGAATTAGTTTCATATTAATTGTAGTTTTAAACTGTTTTGTTTCTTTTTTTATTTTTCTAAGAATAGTGTAATTTATAGAAATGGAATGGGATGATAAAACTATTCTTTTAACTAAAAGTTCTTCTTAACCAATTGGTTCTTCTAGTTTCTATTAAAAAAAATTTTTTCACTAAGTTCACATATGTGTGTTTTCGGAAGATAGTAGTCTTCCAAAATAGCAAATTGAATTCTTGTAAAATCAAATTTTATCTGATTTCAAAGAAAAAAAGAGAACAAATAAGATTAAAAAAAGACAAACTTTTTTAATATAAAGTTCATGTAAAAATGAATTAAGGTTATTAATCAGGATAATATCATTCGTTTCAAAACCATCAAAAAGATCATCATGCTTAGATTAAAAATCATTGATGATATATGTCTCGTTGTTCCATTGCAATAATCTTTATTTGAACAGCAATAGACAAAACCACCTCCACTACTATTGCCAGATGTACAAGATCGACCACCTGCCATACGTTCAACATAAGTTGAATATACTACTTTCTAATTGAATACCAAATGTCGAAAAATAATGTTCTTTACAATTTATTACTTACTGCACAATAGTTATTATATGGAACTGGAATATCTCCTGATGTGCTTGGATTATATGGATCATTACAACCAGAATTACTTGAACCAAGACATGATACACAAATTAATCCATTTGTTATTTGGATTAATACTAAAGTAATAAATTAATATGATTCAATCGGAAAAGAGATATTTACCTAATAAGTATAGAAATGATAAATTGAGTAAATGCATTTTTATTCAGTTTCGTAATGTTTGTACGAATGAATTTTTGAATAATAAAAGAAACGAATACCTTTCTAACAGTTATAAGAATGAATTACAATAGACAACACCAATAAAAAAAAGACACAAATGTGAAAGTCATTTGCAATTTAATAAGAAAACTTATTTGTTTTGTTTGTTGTTAGGGATTTTTTTTTTTCAGAACAATGTATGTTTTGTCAGAACTCATGCTCATTTTTTATGCAATTTTTTTAGAACTGTGTAAAGAAAAAACTACATAAAATTTTTGTATTGAAAATTTCATCCTCGAAAGATATCAGATATTTGAGATTACAATAGAATATAAACATAAATCATGATGAAAATAAAAACTCTGCTGTTACTAGAATAATTTACTAATATTTTCAGGTGACTTAAGGTAAACAACATATTTGATTTCATTGAATCATTATAATGAATGTTTTTCTTGCATTATTTTGTAAAAAAAATACAAATAGAAATGCAGAATTTTTAATCAAAATTCAATAAGAAAAAATCAATTCAGATAGAAAAATAATAAACACAAAATATAATAGAATTGCAATGATGATTTAAGAAAGTCTGATTTATAATTTCGAGAAATATGATTGTATGTCATTCATATATGGGCCAGGTACAACTTGTCCCGTTTGTGGATCACAATATCCTTGTATAAAACTCGTTCGATTGATTGCAGGTTGTCCAATACATTTACCACGAACTGTAATTGAATATTCTGTATATTTATTTTCACCATCCATGGTCAATAAAGGTTTTTCAATACTTGGGTCAACTATAAAATGTACAACTGTAACTCGAATACCAGAACCATCAATAAGTAATGGATCTGATTGAACATTTGGATACACTATATCCCATGTAAGATGATCCTATTGAATAGCAATGAAATAAAATTTAATTAAAAAAACAAAAAGCTTTTTATTTACTTGAACTGCAGCACCATTAAATAGACCAAACCATAATTGTGGAGAAACATTACCTGCATTAAATCGCAGTATAGATTCATCTATTCGTTGTTGACATATAGCAGTGTCTGCATCTTTACATTGTTGTGTCTCACCAGCACAACTCCACCAATAAATATATTCTCTACCATCAAAACCAGGTCCCTTAAGAGGAACAGGCCATTTTTCGACAAGATTTGTTATATCATAGACTGATGCGTTTCCATAAGCACGACATGGATTTTTACGATCAATTAATAATAAACTTGCCCAACAAAGATTTGTTAGAAATATACTGATTAAAATACATGATAAGATAATAGATGTTTGAAACATTGTCAATGTATCTAGAATAAAAAATAAGTATAATTATCAATTAGAATCCAAAGTGAAAAATCAAGATTTTTGTCTAGTTGGCTAATATTGACAATGATAATTGTTGAAAGTAATAAACAAAAGTAAAGAAAAGATATTCATATTGACTGCAGAGATCGAAGATAAAGAATAGTTTCTTTGTTTTTTTTTCTTATCATACACGTGAAGTTATCTTGTTTTTGTTTTTTTGTTTTTGACTCTATTTGTTTAAAATCGAGCACTTTGGAATCTTTGCTGATTGATATTATCTAATAAACTTGTCTAAGAAAGGTTAGATATTTTATAATTAGATTGATCACGAAAATTTTATTGTTACTATCATTCACCGTATAAACTAAAAAGGAACATTATAAAATCAGTTAATCGTATATTAATCGATGTATAACCACTAGTATTTCGTGTGATCGCATGATTATATAATCTAACAGCTGCGATTTTTTTTACACCGATCGTTGTAAGCATCTTCAAATTTAATGACAAAGAAAGCAAAATTAAATGAAAATGTGTTCGACTACATTTACATCATGCCAGAAATATTTGCGATTATATCGTAAAAATTTGATAAGGTTGAATTAAGAATTGCGAATATAATTATATCTCCAAGAGTAATTGTAATACGGGTTCATAAGAGCGTAATTGAACCGTAGTCAAATCTAAGAGGAGAACGCTGAATGTTGGCAGAAACAGAATATCTAGAGAACCAAATATTTGACAACATGGAATTTTATTATTGATAGGGCTATAATCATTTATAAATTAAAGCACCGAACAAATCTCGTTGGGTCTAATGAAAAATCAACTACTCCTAGTTGCCTTTCATCTATTTTTTCAATGTGACAGTAAAATTCTTGTTTGTTGTTGTCTCTCTCTCTCTCTGAAATGAACCTCTCATTTACGACTTCTGATGAATGAGAATCAGGCGATATGATACGCTGATGGAAACAATTTGATTTGAAGCCTACAAAATCTCTGTATCACAACTCTACGTTCGATTGTCAAAACAAAGTTTTAATATCCTTCGTTCTCCAAGGAGAATGGTATAGTATGGAAACAAAAACATCATCTTTCAATATCAAGGAATACCTCTAAATGAAATGGTGATATTACAATAGATGATCATCGCCCACCACTAATAACCAACTATCAAAGAATGATTTCATATTATTTATTTTTATATTTCAGACAGCAGTTCTTTTTTGTTTTTTACTGATGCTTCATATTGTATTTATTTTGCTACAATGGACTTCTTAATTATATTCTGTTTTTATTTCATTTTCCTCTTAATTTATTATAATTTTAATTTCTTTTGTGATTGATCAAGCTATCGAGGCAAGTTGCTATGTATACCAATTTAATAAAGAGACGACAGATCTCAATGCAACATCTTGTATTGTGGTAAACATAGAAACTCACATATTGATTATTGCTTAAAGTTAGATTTTGATTATGTCATTCTATAGTGTCAGTCGTATACAAACTATATCAAATCTACACACAATTTGCTATCATGATTCACATCTACCATGCAATAGTTTATATGTGATAAAATTCAACAATGTATTTCGCGGTAACTAGGAAATGGGAGAGAACAGGCAAAGAATCATTGTCTTCAATTTACACTGATGTGAGTGTTTTTTTTTTTCGAAAAATATATGTGAATTTCACGATACAATTCAAGTGAATAGTGAAGCAAACAAGATTGTGATTGTCATAGAGTCGATCTAGCGAACGATACAGATCGTGTCTTCGCCAAATGATGAAACAAGTAATCTCCATGGACATGGACACTTGCTTACATCAACAGACAATATAGCCTTTTGCTTTAGTCGATGATGAGCGAGAACAAGTTGATTATGATCACAATCAATTGTCAATGTCATGTGATCGCCTGGTGCAATATTTTTTTCTTTGTAGCCTTTCAACTGAGCATTGCCATTGAGAATAGTTCGGTCAAAATTTCGCCAACCATAGGCTGATGGTAGTTCTGTTGATCGTGCTGTCATTCCTTGCATAGATGACAATATACCGAAAAATATGCCTTCATTTTTCTTAGAGATGACTCGAAATAGAATGTTATGAGTTCCCGAGGCATACAGTTTGATACCGCAGATACTCGAATAACCAACACATGCTGCGACTAAACCATCCTCTGACAATTTTACACGTCCAACAACCTGGTGAAATCGTTCATCAGCATTTGTGTTTGTTTCTTGCAGAAACGAAGAACGTGACTCCAGCTGAATAGTTGAATGTTGTTCTGTGTTCGCTTTTGATAGAGTAGAAGCAGGTACGGGTGGATCGTACGTTACTCTAATGAGACGAAGAGTAGATGTAGGTGTTGTATCAGTTATAACACCAATTGGAAATGGTTTTTCGAGCAAATCCTGCAGTTTCTGAAGCTGTCGATTCCAATTCTTAAGATCGATTTCAGTCATATCACTTGCTTTGCGGCTGGAACCCATACTCGTAGTAATCTTATCTATGGCTTCATCGAAATCCTTCAACGTTTGCTTGTTATACTGTTGAACATCAGCACGAGCCTTTTCAGCTGTCAAACGTATCTTCTTAATCGAGTCTTGTTCCCAAAGATCAATGGCAGATAAAATTGGTGATGGATCATTTGCTTGTGAAAGACTTCGTCGAAAACGTTCACATTGATCATTAATTCCATCCATTTTTTGTAAAAGTTCTTGTCGATGTTCAGATAAATGGTTTTGACAAAAAGACTGATGGCATCCATCGCAAGTAACAACACCAGGATTTGTCTCACATTTTGCGCATATCTTTTTCTTCGAAATTGTTGGCATATTTTCAATTTGAGTAGAAGCGTGAGAAAACTTATACCTTGAAATCAAAGAGAAACTTCTAAGCAAATTAATTTTTAGTGATATTCAATTCTAAGTCTGATTCTCAAGCTGACTCCATAAGAGTTTTCATCGACTATTTAAATGTGAGAATGAGTTTTTTCAACTCGATTATTTGTACTTCACTAATGCATCACAGCTAGAGGATGATAGCTGATTGGCTGAAGAAGATACTACCTAAACTGATACCCTACGTTTGAGCTCACATTGGATTTACAAGAACGTCAGAGTAAGGCTAGAAAAATCTCAAACTAGTTTGTGCCTATGAACCCCTGGAGTCGATTTATAACTGTTTCACTAAACTTTTAATCCAGCTTTAGGTTTTTCGATCTGAAATTTCACTTATACACAGGTCGAATAACTAAGAAAATATCTTGAAAGTTACAACTGAAAAAATATGTCCTTGTCGAGCTATTGAGTTTTCCGGAAAACACAATTTTTGTGACATATCTGTGCCCAGCGATTATTATTTGGAAAGCAAAAATATCTTGATAGGAAAAAATTGAGGACAACGATCATAACTCAGTTTCAAAGATTCATGGGCTTGAATCTATTAAAAATTTTTCAAGTCTTATCGCGACGTCCTTATAAATTCAATATGATGATTGTTACTGCTAGAACTAGTGGATGATCAAAATCAAAAAGTCCTTTTCTAAAAAATTTAATTATTGAGTAATTCGTCTGATGGAATCTCATGGCAAAATAAAATTCAGAAGAGAAACATTTCTCTGCAAAATATAGGTTCGTATATGTTTCGATGCAGTTTTTTGCATTGATTTTGAATACAATCTTATACTGACAGCAACGTTTTTGAAGGGTAAAAATAGAAAATGCCTGGCTAACCATGACTTTTTCGAAAGTCCAGGAACAGTTGTGTTAGTTTATGCTAACTATGGTGATAGAGAACATATGAGACGGCATTCTTGCAAATTTTGAATAAGTTTTAAATTGGGGTGCGAAGCGGAGTCTCATTTTACTAATATAATTACTAGGAAAATCATAGTAGTGATAAAGAAAACTAAATTCACAAGAAATATCAGTAGTAATTCAAGACTTATTTTTAGTCATTCGTAGTAAGTGCCGTATAAAAACATGTCCGTTATGTATAGATGGCGCTATTTTCAGAAGACTTAAACTTTGTAGAAAGAATTGTAATACTATTAAATAGTCCATCATCAGACATATATTAAGTACTATTTCAATCTCGCAAAAGTACACTTTCGATTTTTTTCACCTAATCTCCATTGCGTTACCTACCGTGTGCCACTTTTGTGAATAGATGCACTGAAAATTTCAATCAACGTCGCCGTCGGTTAAGGCATCGACTTTCATCTCTAATTATAGGCAACGGAATCATCTGTCCTTAGTACATTCATGGCAGACTTTATCATGAATGTTTGTTTATATATGTTGTATTTATTCTCACGAATCGACGTCTGATTCAGATAGAACGATTGAGATAACTATTAGCATTTATTTCCTCATAATACTTACAGAAAGACTACGATATTCTAACAGAGTCATTTAAGGGACATAATCTTCACCATTTCTTACAAACGACTAATGCAAAACAATACAAAATATATTTGCAGCTGCCACACAACCAGAGTAACGTTTTCTTTTCAATTTTACTGCTATGCAACAGCATGGAAAGAAGTAAGTAGCAAGGATGATGGCCTCAGGATAAAAGAGCAAGCATGCAATTCTTTTAATTGTTTGATGTGAATGAGTCATTTTTATTCGATAGACGAGGTGTTGTCATATAACTATTCGTATAAATAGTGATGTTGGTTACAGTAAACTCATGACAATCATGGTTCGAACAATCAATGACAATTCACTGATGAATTCATAAGTGTAATCTCGATGAACAAAGCCTTTTCAAGCAGATTTTGGTTTAATTTCCAATAGAACTACGAATAAGTCTTTAAAAACCTTTTTCCTGTCAACAATCATCTGATCAAATAATATGTCTACCCGTCATTCAATGTCATAATTCGTGTTCGAATCACTGGTCTACAATACAAATGATCTCTTCATCTTCTCCTACACATACGTCGATAAGTGAAACTATAGCAGTGAAATTTGAAAGTCTGAATCACTAATAAGTGGGGTCAGCATAAAAAAAGAACAAAATAAAAAAAGAAAAGAATTTATTTATATTAAGGGTGTGGGTATGAATTTGGACGCAGTCTGGTTGAGAAATAATAATTTAAGATGAACACTGAAACATTTAACGATCGAAGTATTGACATCTATAAACAAACCTATTGCGACAAATTGTTTTGCTCTCTTTCTTACTATACTCTTATTTTTTTTTCTTTTCATCTATGCTCTTAAAATTAAGGTCTGTAAATCAACACAAAAACAAAAGCAAAAGGATGATGTAAAAAAAAAATCGTTTTTTTTGTTCTAAATTAAGCGACTAAACTTTTCATTGTGTTCTGAAGTAATGAGAAACTATACTGATTGATATTCAAATGAAAGCTTTTTTGTTATTAAATTTATTTTACAACTTATTGCGATTAACACTATGTACTTCAAACAGCATCTATATCATAAATAGATGCTGCAAAAATAAATATATTCTAAAGACCTATTGCTTTTGTAAACAAGTGGTCAATGAAGATTTTCTTTTCACATACATTTCTTGCTAATTTACCGAATTTCATCGGTATAGTCTAATCATAGTGAAAATATAAAACAATATATCGAAAAAAGGTCTTAGATAAAATTGACTTGACATAATTATTCATGCTTTGTTATCATTGTTCGATTTAATTAACATTTTATTTTTTTGTCAGTTTATTCGTTTTCATGGACGATACAACTTACAACAATAGTAATAATCATCTGTATTGAAAATTTTGTTTCACAACAAAAAAAAACCAATCATTGATGACAATATTTAGTGACTTTACTCAAAACACGAATATATTAGAAACTGTTCAGCCCAAAGATTTTTCTACAATGATCTCTTACGAACATGAGCTATCATTACATTGATTTCGTTACTTCTTTTATTTTGGCATTTGTTTTGTCTTTTTTCCAAGTTTTTATCCATATATTTTGATTATCATTAAATATATCGTCGAGGAACACTAGGATAACAAACATTTTCGACGAAGCTGTTATTCAAAGGTTTTGTTTCATTCAGAGATAAGATTCGTAGTGGACTATATTATTCGAAGAGAGCACGACCAACAAATAGTTCCTGCTATGTAGTCATTCATATACTTCACCTAGTCTGTAGTAAAAACAAGTACTTGATTACAACATCTACGAATACTTGGTCATAAAAGAACTCACAAGAAGTGACTATTCGGACTATTTGTTCCATTGAAAGAAACGATTGATAAATTATTCTTTCATCGAGGAAAACTAGACTTGCAAGAATTTCATACGAAGCGACTATTCGAGCCTGTTTTTCAATACAGAGTTAAGATGTGTAGCTGATTAAAGCGTAAGGAAAGCACGGCTAAGAAAAACTTCTTATCATCCAGTTATTTAAATACTTTATCCAGTTTGAAGCAAATATTAGCAGTTAATTTTATCATCCGCGAAAACTCCATCAACAAATAATCCATAAGAAGCGATTATTCCTATTATTTCTTCCATGGGGTGCAGCGATTTGTAGTTTGTTATATCATCCAGGAACACTTGATTGAGCAACAATACATAAGAAACGCGTGTTCAAATGTTTGGTTTAATTCAAAGCTAAGATTTATAGTTGATTATACAGTCAAAGACATCAAGACCGACGAAAAATTCATATCATCCAATTAGTCAAGCACTATTTTCAATTGGAATCAGAGACTTGGAGTTAACTATGCCATCGCACAGCGCACGATCGATGAATAATTCATATCAAGTGACTGTTCAGATATGTTTTTCTCCTTGAGAGGCGGGATTAGTCGTTGTTTGTATCATTGAGATTCAGTGGAGTAAGAAATAATTCATAACAAGCGACTATTCAAATACTTTATTGAATTCTTAACGAAAAGGTTGTTTTGATTTCATCGCTTGAGAACACTAGATCAAAGAGAAATTCAGACGAAAGACCTTATCAAATATTTCGTTCTATCAATAGCTAAAATTTGTGCATTAAAATGCTATCAAAGAACACTATATCAAAGAAAAATTGATACGAATCAAGTAGTCAAATATTTCGTTCTATTCGAGGTGAGATTTGAGTTTCATTACAGCATCAACGAACACTCGATCCAGGTATAATCTATACGAAACAACTATTCTAATATTGTATTGAATTGTCAACTGATTATAGTTGGTTATGTCTTTCAGATACATTCCAACAAGGAATAATACATAGCAAACAACTATTCAGGTATTTTGCTCACTTTTAACCAACGGTTTCTAGTTGACCATAAGAAAGAGGACTACTCGTACAACAAATAGTTTGTAGGAAACAGCTCTACAAATATTTTGTTCAATCCGAAGCCCAGATTTGCATTTGATCATGTGACTGAGGATCACTCGATCAAGAAATAATTCATAGAAAGCAGTTCTTCAAATATTGTGTTCAATCCGAATGGAAGCTTGTAATTGATCAGATGATGGAGGATCATTCGATCAAGAAATATTTCATACGAAACAGCAGTACACATATTTTGCTGAATTCTTAGCTGAAATTTCTAGTTGATCATTCGACCGAGAATCATTCCTTCGAGAAATAACTCATATCAAACAGCTCTACAAATAATTTGTTCAATCCGAAGCACAGAATTGTGGTGAATTCTATCATGGAGCAACACTATCAATGAATGATTCGTACCAAGCGAGAATTCTGATAGTTTCTTCAATTCAAGCCATACTGGATCAATGCATAAAACATACGAAACAACTGTTTACATGTTTTGTGGGATTCAAACCGAAGATCTGTAGCTAACTATATCGTTCATGAACACTCGATCAAAGAATAGCTGGTAACATGCAACAATTCAAATGCTTTCCACAATTACAACCGGAGGTAGGTATCTGGTTGTACTATCGAGAAATACTCGATTAGAGAATAATTTGGAATAAATAACTAATCCAAAATTTTCTTCAATTCGAAAAAAATATCAATAGTTGATTGTTATACCTAATAATACTCGATTAAGAAATAACTCATAAGAAGCATCTATTCCAGTTATTTGCTCAATTCAGAGAAATGATGTATCACTTATTATAACGTCGAGGAACACTAGACAAAGGAATATTTAAGACGAAACGACTATACAAATGTTTTGCTTAATTCAAACCTACAGTTTGTAGTACACTAGAGTATCGAAGAGAGCACAAGCAAGAAACAGTTCATATCAATCAATTATTCACGTACTTTACTCAGTTTGAAGTAAATATTAGTAGCTGATTATGCCATCTAAAAATGCTTTATCAAGAAATAATTCTTAAGAAGTGACTATTCCAATTATTTGTTCCATTGAGAGCAACGATTGATAATTTATTCTTTCATTGAGGAACACTAGACTGATAAGCATTTCATACGGAGCAACTATTAAAATGTTTTATTCATTTCCGATCTAAGATTTGTAGTCGATTATACCATCGAGAAGAGTCCCACCATAGAATAGTTTATATCATTCAATTACTCAAATACTTTATTCTATTCGAAGCAAATTTCAGTTGTTGATCATATCACCTAACAACACCCGATGAAGAAATAATCCATAAGAAGTGAGTATTCCAATTATTCGTTCCATTGGAACCGACTATTTATGGTTAGTTAGATCATCGGAGAACACTTGATTAAGGAACAATGCATAAGAAACGATTGTTCACGTATTTTGTTCAATATAGAGCTAAGATTTGCAGTTGATTATAAGAGCAAAGAGATGAAGATTGACGAAAACTTCATATCATCCAATTAGTCAAGCCATTCTTCAGTTGAAATCAGAGACCTGAAGTTAACTATCTCATCGCGCAACACACGATCAAGAGATATTTCATATCAAGCAATTGCACTTATATTTTGCTCCCTTAGAAGAACGATTTGTGGTTATTTATAACATCGAGAAACACTTGATCAAGAAACAGTTCATATTAAACAATTATTCAGATATTTTATTCAGTGTAAAGAAAAGATTTACAGTTGATTATGGCATCAAGTAGCGCATAATCTGAGTGTGATTCATAGCAATCAGCTTTTCAAATTTTTAATTGAATTTGAAAAAAAGATTTCTAACCGATAATAGCATTGAGGAACACTGGATCAAGAAATAATTTGTATCAATCGAGTTTTCAAATAGATTATTCGATATGAAGCAGAGATTTGTACTTGATTACAGCATCGAGGAACAATCGATGAAGAAACTGTTCATACTAAACAACTATTCAGATATTTTATTCTGTTCGAAAGAAGAATTTGCAGTTAGTTATATGATCGGTGCTGAAACCTAAAACTTTGTAGTAAATGAAGAAATCGCACGTTTGGTCAATACGTGCCGAAGCGAGGTTATTCAGAAAAGATGTTACCAATTTTGCAACATTTCTGTTGAATCGCTTGGTGAAGAATTCCAAGATCATTAGATTACTTCGTTGTTGTTCGTCTTTTGATTTTTTCACACCAAAACTGTGACGGAGTGTTTCCCGGATGTTCGAAAGTTTCACGGTTCGAACTACTTGACGCAGTTAATGATCAAATCTGTCTTGTTTCTTGCTCCTGTTTCGTTTGTTTTTAAGGAAAATTCCAATTGCATAAAGGAAGAGAAGTTGATTTGAAGCGAACCATAAGGAAAATTTATTGCAAAGAGTTATTGAAACACCGAAAATGGTTTTGTGTTCGGTAAGTACTCAGCAAAGCGCTCGCATAGGAAATGGTATTCGAGTTACGTTTGGACTTACTGCGGTTAAGGATTTGAATAGTAGTACCTTTGGGCATATTTCTGACTAGTAAAATGGATTTTCTTTCAGGCATTGGAATGTCTGTGCCACCTAGACATGTATGAATTCGCGTATAATTCAAGCATTTAAAAAGATTGTTTATGAGGCTGAATTGAAATCTATTAGTTTCTGATTGGATTTAAGTTACTGTATATTTAACTTCATCTGAATCCATACAACTATTATCAGATGTGATGACTTCACAAGAGCTGCGAACTCTTAGGTGTGCACGGTATCCTAGCTTCATTTCAGAGTTTGGAACGAACAGTTCATGTTTTGATCCATACATTAAATGCTCGAACGACCCGTAATTCATCAAACTAAAAAGATGTTTTATACAAATTCCTTGTACGGAATCAGATGGAGCAGTAAAGCATAGAGAAAAAAAAAGGTGCTGTAAATCAAAATTTAATTATCTTGAACGTCGGTTTGTCCTTGAATATGACACATAAAAATTTAATTGACTCAATTTTCTATTTCTTACAGAAATATATTGATTTCAATGCAGAAATCACAGTAAATCGTTCCTAGTATGATAGAAAACATTTTATCTCTCTATAATCTTAGTAAGCGAACAGAGCTTTTGGCTAACTAATCCGATACGGAGTGTTCAATAGAATCTCTATCATGTTTATATTGACTATTTCTAAAGCACGTAAAATTTTCAGAATTTGTATACCTTGTGCATTTGCTTTTATCCTTAAAACTAGTTTCTTCGATCTCTTTAATTAATACTTACATATCGAAAATGATATTTTCAACTGATTGTTGGCACTAATACAAAAATTTAGATTTTGTCAAAAATAATCCTATACAAGAATCTTTCAAATTAGATGTCTAAAGTCATAGCGATATATACTGATTATAGTAAAAAACAAAATCTAAAATCATATTTGGGCTTGTCATGAGATGGCTCATGAAACCAAATTAAACATGACTTCAAAGTTGACAATAATCGTTTGGATCTTTTCGGATAGTCTTGAACACAACATAGCAATGTCGTGAGTGGTGACTGACCTGTAAACGAGACATTAGAATTAAATTCTACTGTATCTGAAGTCAACTGTAGTATGCTTCTGTGTACTGTCTCAAGAAAAATCAAAATATTGTGTTAGATTTTTTTCTTTTTACTTGGCTTTAGTGAAGTTAACTGTTAGGAACTATTAGTCCAAATTATTCAACGAAATCGCTTTTTGAGAGTTTCGGGTTTTTCTTAGGAAAGTATTTTGAATCTACCTTCATTAAAATAAAGCTTTAAAAATGTGTATGAAAATGTTTAGAATTAAAAGCTTTACGAAAACTAAATTTGAAAGAAATAGTGCATGTTAGTATTATTACTGGTTCTCATTCGTAGTACAAGCTGTAGATCTGAAACTTTGAAGTTATGTCGTACTCGGCATTTATAATTCTTTGTCAAAGTTTCAAAGACTTCGCTTTTGTTGAATGCAAGAACGACAAATTTTAAAAACGTATCAGAATCTCTGAGACACTCTTTATGATGAGAATTGAATTCTCTAGTCTGTGAGGTCAGAGCTGATTTCCTACTCAAATCCCTGTTTGAATTTTTCTTACCAATTACTACAGCACGGATCAAATAAGGAAATAAATCTAGTCGAATAATTCCCGAGTTCACTGTGTATACATAGCATATCTGAATCAGATATACATGTCGATTAGTGTAGAAATTTTCAATACGAACGAAACTAGCTTGAAGCTGTTTGATCTTTAGAATTTGATTTTCGTAAATTTGTATGAATATATTTTAATAATTAGATTAATCTCGTATTTAATGTAAAATAAGTGAGCATATTTTTATTAATATAGATCCCGCTCATAAAAAAAAGCTTATAAATAAATTTCTTTAACATCAAACTCAGCAATACACATGCAATTTTAATTGACTTTGATTTTCAGTTGAATAACCCGCAATTTATTATTATTAATATGAATAATATTTTTAAAAATTGTCTGAAACTACATATATCGATTGTATAAAAATGGTACCGATCTAAACAATCATAGCGTTCTACTTGGTATTGAGCCAAGAAAGCTAGGGAATTTTCAAAGATTTAGCTGATCAATAATTAATATGTTCTTACTAAATAGTTAATTATTATATATGCACACATCATTATTTCAAGATTCGCTATTTTCAACTGCATAAAAGTGCTGAACTTGAATTTGTTCCTGTCAAAACTTAGTTGGAACATATGTGAGGACCTTCTCATGTAAACGAATTAACACTAACACAAAAGTAATTCATAAACAAAACTTTAGTTTAATAATTTCAAATACATTCATAAAAATATTATATTTAACGAATAACTAATACCTGATATTATAAAGCCATATGACAAAGAAACAAAAACATACAAATGCAATAAATTAGAATGTAAATCATTGCAAATATCGTATTTTATATAACAGAACTGGATAGAATAACTTTAGATGAATCAACATATTTAACATGTTTAAAGAGTGGATGCAAAGTACGCAAAGGTGAATCTAAATTTCGATCGGACATTAAAATCGTAAAATGAAGATAAGAGAGTTGTTTAGGAATTGAGAGAGTCTTAGCCAAAATTTTGAAATTTAATGCGGGATTTGCTGCATGTTTATGACCTTGAATATCATCAAAAGTAAGCCATTTAAGATTAGGTGTCAGTTTCAGAATGGCAGCAAGTATTTCGAATGTCGAACGAATGAAGATATATTGAAGAAGCAAATTCATACAAGAAATAGAATGTCGTGGAAGAGTTAGATTATTTTGAGGTGTTTCATATACAATAATACTTAATCGAGATATGTTTGGACAAGCACGAAGTACACAAATAATTCCATATGAATCATATACACTAATTGATAGTGAACGAAGTTCTGGAGAACCATTCCAAGAATGATCAGTAGAAGTTCGATCGAGTCTACATGTTTTTAGATGTTCAAAAACATTTGAAAAGATTAAATTTAAAAGAATTGAATCTTCAAGTGGATAAGAAAGATTTAAATATTTGAGATGCGGAAAATTTTCAGGTCGAATGTAGTTTCGCTGTTGCAAACTTGGATATTTAAGAGTTAGGAAACGCAGAGCTGAAAATGGTGCTATATCAAATTGTCCAAGCCATACTGTTAGACGTCCAATACATGGAGCAAAAAATAAAAGTGCCGGATGATGTTCATTTGAGGAATTGACGATAAAACTTAAATGTGTTAATGATTGAAGAATTTTATTGATACGTTTATTAAGGCCAAAGAATGAATAATATAATTCTTGCCATGACAAATAAGGAAAAATTCCATAGTGAAATATCTCATTGGGTAGATCATCTAAATGTAATAATTGATTGTTTTTATTCATTTTAAAATATTTGATTCTAAAATCTAAAATTGTAACACATTGAAGACATAATTATTTCTAAATCATTCATGAAACTAATTTCAAATTTGATGTGAAAGGAAAATAAAACATATTCGATAGAAAAGAATTCTTTCTATTGGTCTATAACTATTAACTTTTCTAAACTTTTCGAAATTCTTTGGAAAGAAAAACGCTAGAGATAGTAAAGTATTATTACGCAGTGTCATACAGATATTATCACAACTAGTTGTATTGTCATAGAACTTTCTGTTTTTTTTTCTATTTTAATTTCTCGTTACACATCACCTCTGACGATTGGATTTATTTATTATTTCAGCCGTTTCAAGAAGCATACTTGAATAATTTTGCTGATCGATTAATCAATTACAGTTTTTTTTTCTGTCACCCGTAAGATTATTGATTAAAGTGTATAGCAAAAAAGTTTTGAATTGACATATAGTGAAATTCGAACTTGCAAAAGTTTCATACTTATTCAGGTCACACGAGAGATGTCATGTGCATGCAATAATTGAATAGTGAGTGAGTAGATTCTTGTTTATTCATCATTAGTCGTTGTATCTTTGAGATCTACAAACTCTTCAACATGTAACATCACTCACGAATATCTGTTCAACGAACAAACGATACTTAAAAGATTCACAAATTTAAACCTTAGCAATGAAGAAGTACTTACTTATTGAACCACCTATGAAAATGTTACGCAGGTTCATTCTGATGAGTCAATTAATATATTGGACTTGAATAATATCTCTATAAAATGCTATACATGTATTAGTTATGCGAACACATTAACCATACTAATTATTATTGATCGATAAAATACCTAGCAATGATTATTATTACTGTAATTTCCTAAGAATTTCAACAATTGTGGAAACTCAGATAGCAAAAGTATAGCTCACTAGATGTTCTATATCATCATGTCTAAAACATCAGGAAGAATATAAAGAATTTATTTGTCATCAAATCATCAATTACATACTATATTATTAAAAGTACACGAGTTATATTGGCTATGAGTGAATAACCAATCAATACTGTGTCACGTATCAAAAACATCTAGTGGGCTCTGTATGCTTGTTAAGACGTAAAATTTTACTATTCAAGAAACAAACTCATATGAAAAACATACAATTATAAATCTCTGTACTTTTTCATAAGATTTCTCAGAGAAAAATTTCGATGCTGATTATTTCTTAAATTTTACAAAAATTATAATTATGTACATACAGTCTAAGATAAAAATAAAAAGCAAAGATTTCAGAAAGAAAAATAGAAAAATAAGATTTTAAGGACCATACAAAAAGCAATATGCATACTACAGATTTTTTTTCTCAATTGTATTCTATATATCAAGAACTCATGAAGAGTAGATAATTCGAATATGATATTGTAGATGACACGATTTGACAACATATCTTCAGCTCTTGAGTTATTACATATTGAGACATGTAACAAACTAGATCTTAACTTCGATTTTTGATACTAAGCTTCACAAGATTAAGCTTGAACATACATACTCGAACTGGATCAAACTCAAACCTTAATGTTTGATTTCGATCGAGTTCAGTTCAAGTTGAAGCTTTTTATTTGGACTTCTTTGTAAGATCTAGACATTCAGGATATAACCACATTTTTAACTATAGAAATAAATTTAACTTGATTTTTATGCTTGTAAAAAGTAGCATACAAATGCAGCAATCAACGAAAAGTTCTCAAGATCTACTTGTAAGAGTCTATATTCTCAAAGCAATGATAGTTTTTCAGTAGAAAGGCAGTATTATTAATCTATTCGAGACCTTCTCGTTTAATTTTATGTTAACTCATATGAATATAATTTACTATAGAATTGATTAAAAAGTTAGGAACGTTTCTTTCAAAACTAATGCTCTAATGAACCACTGCAGTTGCTAGCGAGTTATAAACAAATTAGTGTCACCTATAATATTCTTCCTTTTCTCTTTGTAAATTAATAATAATTGATAATCATGTAAACTTGGTAATATGTATGACCGAATTGAATTCAGTAGAGTTATTATTACACAATTTTATTATCCAGTAGTGTGTGGGTGAACAGAAAACTGACACACCTACACCTACACGCCAATAGTTTGCAAGAGTCCGTCTGTTCATTTATGCTAAATTCTAACTTTAGATTCAGATTGCTTGTCTCGAAAACTTTGCATCAAAACTTCTGAACATTGAGTTCGATTAGGACTTCATAGTCTCTAATTCGAAGTGAAGAGAGAAGACCTTAATTTTCTAGTTGGCTTTGAGAGGTTTTCAGATTGCTTGTTTTGGGATCGCAGAACTGATAAAAGAAAAATTAAATTGTATTTTTAAAGCAGGTTGATATTCTGTAAGCGAGAAAACGTTGTGCTAGACTCAACTTTCTATAATGCTTCCTTCTACTAGGTTTTAAGGTCATAAGAACCAAAAATTACTCCACATTGTACTTCAAGTCCTCTAACCTACTACGTCTGATAGAGCAGAAATTTTTTACTGGTACTGTTTAGAAACTATTTTAGGTGCCTGTTTTTTTGACTTGATTGCATCTTGTTTCCTTTAAGTAAAATTTCACAACTAAAGGGAGCATCCTAAAAACAAACACAACATTTTATATATACTAAGAATTTCATTTCTCAAGAAAAGTCGATGAAAAGTTGAGCATGCTTTGTGGAGTGTTAAACGGTTATAGTAAAATTTGTTTATACCAATGACTTCCTTATTCGTTTAGAAATAAAAAGACCTAGGAAGGATACTGAATGTAATTGAAAATGATTTATTGTAGAACCCCATGCTGGATGACTGTCAGCACGCACTATAGTACTCTTCAAATAGTACTTCGACATGATGAGGTGAAACAGGATGTGTCGGTTTTTTATTACTCTTGTCTCACTTGTTATTAATTAAGTTATGACCTGGACTGCTGTTTATCAGATATATTTTGTCAAGAGATTATATAAGTACCGATGTTTGATGACGTTATTTGCTTCATTCTGATTGATGCAATGAGAATAATTAGACATGATTACATGAAAGACAAAAAAACTGGCTACGGATGGTGAAAACTGCTTCTTTTGTTCTATGGAGCTCTACTGTTCTACAAGTTTTGTGCGCCCAGCTCATGATAAAAAGCACAAATTCATCAAAAAAAAAAAGAACAATTGAGAACGTAACTAGTTTTTATGGGACTAAATAAATTTACGAAAATTGAATAAAGAACACTGCTTCAACAGTTTTTTTTTCATCTAGGAATGTGTTTCAATTCAAAATGAGTTGCAACTCATAGATAATCAATTTCAAAGATGAAAACACATTCTAACAATTGGTTCTTCAAATATTGGACTAGTTTTTTAATTCACACAAAGCCATTCGATAGAGTTTCTTCTTGTTCGCTTCAAACTAAGATCGAAATTCGATGGCGTTTTCTTTTGGAGTGAACCGTACACTCAAGGATCCTATTGTCTCGAGGACGTTGGAACGCACCTGGACATGTAAACTATCATCAATTACTCCTATGTCAAAAAAAATAGTTGTACAGTCGAGTTAATGCGATTGATTTTCTTGCGTTCTGTCTACCTCTGTAAATAATTCATATTTAACGAAGTAAAAAAAAGAAACAGGTTGATCAAACGCTATAGGGGTACCGATCGACTATTAGAAGAAGCATAGAGCAAAATACAGCATTTAATGACTAAGAGAAGAAAATGAGTATAAATATCAAAAAAAAAAGAATTAAGCACAGTAGGTAAGAACATTATTGTGCCCTGCAACTTAAGCAAAACAGCCATTCCACTGTTCTCGGCTGTTAATATTGGAGAAATTTTCGTCCACAAACAACCATCATGAATAATCTATTGATCCCATTCTGCCTCTTGATAAGTATTGTCGATGGTCAAAGTACGTGAGTTAATCGAATTTGTTGCCTTGATCATCGATCGCTTCGCTTAGATTGTTCTGTTTATAATCCTTGTGGTCGCAATGATTATTGCCGGGATACAAATGGAAAATGGCGTTGTGAATGTAAATTTTGGTGGAATGATACATTGTGTGATGAACGTGAGTCGATTCGATCACAATTAATCGCATACGGCTCAGAAATTTGTTCTAGAAACTAACAGTGGAATACAGGTTATAGCCCTTGGTTGTCTATTGGGTGTCTTGATGATCATTTTCTACTCATTGAATATTTTCCACCGACTTCGCCAACGAAAACAGCAACCGAAAAAAACGAGGGAAAAGTAAAAATTTATTGACAGAACTAATTAATATTATGAGAGCAAGGTTTATTAATTTGAAATGCTGTGAATCGAACTTAAATTCAAAACATTGCTAATGAAGTTATCTACCAGATGGGTTTTACCGAGTAATATGTATTCAATAAATTACTTTTGATATTTTTATGTGAGAAACTGAAACACTGGAAAAATTTTATTCAAGGATATGTAGAAATGTCCACTTGACTTGTTCGACAGAATCTATCGATAAAAAGTATTTTAGTTGAATATCTACGTAATAGTCCAACTGCGTGTTTTGATGGTTTACAAACGCCTATCAATTTCTACCAGACTAGGCTAAAAGTAAAGTATTTAACACTAATAAATAGATCATTTTTATGATCGTTATTTGCCAGGCCTTTTCAACGATCATTGTACTATTGTTGAGGAGAAAAGGGACTTGGAACAAACACCGGATTGAATTTTGAATTCTCTTTTAACAATTAGATTCCTTCTATGAAAAGTTTATTATTGTGTAGTCGGATATAGTATTCAGTTCAGAACAACGGGGAGAGTTCTTCTACTGAACGATGATAACGTTTTGGTATTGTCGAATGAAAGAGAAACATAGAGTATGGATGAGTATGAGTGTAGGCTAAAAGGAAAACTGAACCTATAAATCTATTCGCACGTACACTCCACATCTTTTACAGTTTTTTAATCCGAAAAGGGTCAACTAATGGCAGAGGAGTGTATACA